AGCAAGACCAAAAGTTGTTCCAGACAAAGTTCTAGTACAAAAGAAGTACACAATTCCAAAAGGAGTTGGATTGTTCGGATACCAACCTGAACCAGAAAACTTCCAATGAGGTTGCAAGAACTTCAAGATGCTATAAACAAACTTCCATTGAGACATCCAATTGACGTCAAATTGTATTGGAGAGCATCTGAGTTAGGTCAGAAGGTTTTATATGAAACAGGTTGCTTCGACGATGTTTATGAGATAACAGGAGAAGTTTCTCAGAAGATAAGAGACTCACTTGAATTTCCACAAACTGGACCAATTGGTTGCGACAAGTTCGACTCAGATGAAAAGATACTATGTCGACCTTAACGCTGCATACATGAGGTTTGTCCAATATATTCCGACTGGAATTCCAAACGAAGATGGTGAGTTCTCGGAAGGAACTATACAGTTGGAAAAGTCATACAACAACTGTATGATATTAGGAAAGCTTCAAACCCAAACTTGCAATGACACTCAAATTGCTTATGAATTCGACATGGGATATTCCATTAAGAAACCTCAAGAGAAAGAGTAAACATTATGAGAAGGTCGACAACTTTGTTGAAAGGTTTTCTCCTTTTGTTTTGAAGTACGAATTCACTCAAGGTCAAAGTGGCTTAGTAACCACATTAAAACCTATTGTCGAACATTGGTCTTACCCTCAGTTCGCAAAAGCAGTCCTTGACAACTACAACAAATTCTTCTCCGAAGTCAAATCCAAAGTCAAGGTTTACTATGAGAACATCGACGCACTCATGACGAACGAAGAAGGCTATAACAAACTCATTGAAATGGGAATGGTCGGTGAAAAGATGGGTCAATTCAAATTGGACAAAATTTTCACCGAAGTTCATGTCCTCTCCAAGCGTAAGTACTGGGTGTTAAAGAAGACGGCACAGAAATAAAACATTGCATGAAATAAAAAATTTTTATATTCCTTCCTAGCTAATTTCCGTTTAATTTCATGGTCGCCCTCGGAGTCTTTGAATCGGACAGGTCGAGTTACACCATCTTGGTCTCAAACTCATTATAACCTGTTTGTCTGTATTTTCGTCGACTATGGCACGAGACACGAACATTGACCAAACGGACAAAAAGTGTCATTTCGGATGGTCCCGCAGCCAATCGCATTCGAGCACTTCGAAGAAGCCTTACGTTCCAAGGGAGAGGGTGTCTGGTGCAAGGCAGAGGTCATGAGACTCTACGAGCAGTACATCCTCAATGCCTGGGAGGACAAATCGTCCTTGGATTGGCAATTCTACCAACTCCTCTGGGACGACCTCCTACGCAACTGGGATGACGAAAGAGTTCAATTCAGAGGTCAGGAACTAATTTTGCAAATGACCATTAATTTAAGCCGCTTACGCAACTAAAAACTTAAATTTACTTGGGGTTTCCCCCTAAAATAAATTTTTTTACTCTTAGAACCACTCGAGGTTCTCCTTACGGTTGTTGAGCTTGTCACCGTCAATGTGTCTGACCTTCGTCTTCTTGTTTGGATTTGGAACCCATTGCATACCGACAAGCCTTCCCATGGAAATTGTACCGTAATTTCGAAGGGTAAGGGTCAAGTGTCCCAAAGTTGTTGAGGACTGGGGTAAGAACCTTGCCTGTCGCCTTGTTGCGGATTTTGTATGGGTAGGGTTGGGAAATTTCGTAAGCGTCATCGGCAACAAGGGTTGCCCAAACTTCCTCTTCTTCGTGTTTCTCTTCTTCCTCTTTTCTCTTCTTCCTCTTCTTTGATAATACCTTCTTCAATTTGGTACTCACGAAGTACGGTGTTGCATGTTCTGTCCTTTCCGAGTACCTTCCAGATGGCGTCTATCTCTTCGAAGAAACGGTAGATGAGTCTGGCAAGGTCTCGGTTCTCTCTCGCGTAAATGTGCAAGGTTTCCGTGAAATCGTTCAGGACTTTCTCATTGGAAGCTTGGTTCATGAGGAACTCACCTTTAAGTCCCTTCATCTCTTCCATAAGACTACTTTGGAGAGTCTTAACGGTGTTTGTCAGATGAGCTTTCAAATGCATAATTTGAATTTGAACTGGGCGCTTGTCTGGCAACCTTGAAAGGACATCTGCTATTGTGTTCGGCTTCGGTGCTTGTTCGGACATCGAAAAAATGAAGTGGTTTGAGAATGACGGTTTTACTTCAAAAAGCTTGTTATGACGGTTAAGTCATACAACAAGTTTAAAATAATATCTTGTTCTTCTTCTGAACGTTTGTTGTCTCTTCCGATAAAAGTTTCGAACATGAGAACCAAAAAACGTTTTTTGAGATTGCGGAAGAGTTCAGGCAAACGTTCATATTCCGGATATGTTGGGAGCAGTTCGAAACATCTGAGCTGACTTTCGGACAAAATTGGGACAATGTCAGAAAATTCATCTTTGGTCGGACTGCATTGAAGGTAAGTCCCTTACATGTAAGTAGCTCTGGTAAAGTCTTCTCATTTCTGCTAACTTTTGGAGTATAGCTTCGTAGTTTAGAAGTTTTAATTTTAATTGTCTTATTCCACTCTTTACTTCTAAACGGTAAGTATCCATGAGGTCAAGAGTAGCTTTGGTAGCTTTAAGTGGAGCTATTGTTCCTTGACTTCTGCAATTTTGGTTGCAATTGTGGTTTGAGCTCCTTCAAGTTCGCCGTCTATGTCGTTCTCAACGCCTTCAACCATGGCTTGAAACTCTTCATCGGTCCATTGAGATTGGTGTGGGACGAATTTAACTTGCTTCATTCAAAAAATGAAAAAAAATGTTTTTACTCAAAAGTTAAGGTTGACTGAACTGGTTGGATGTCGCCTTCACAGGTTATGTAGAACGGCTGACCCGAGAAGTGAAGGAGAGACTGAATTGCCAATTTCATATGGGGTAGGGGGTTCTCCTTGTTTGGTATTTTTATCCAAGGACGTTTGTTTAGGAACTTAACAAGAGCTTCTCTTTTGGCGTCCTTTATGCCATCGTAGGCTGTCCCGTCTGGTATTTGAATTGGAATTCCAGTCGAAGTCTCGAGCTGAAGTGTAGACCTTCCAGAAATAGTGGTGAACTTGACCTTGGGCTTCATTACCCTGCGCAAGTACTGCTTAACAACTTCATTTATCTCTATAAGGTAAATTGCCTCGTCAAATCCTTCTGGTATTCCGAGTCCTTCCATCCGACAGGAAAATATTTTCCCGACAACTGGAAAAAATTTTCCCGACGACAGGAAGGACTCTTCCAGTTGTCCGTCCGTAAACCATTCAAATTTTCGAAAATTGAGAACTTTTGGTCGAACTTCAGAAAAAGTTTTTCCTTCCGACAGGAAAGGTTTTTCCTTCCGACAGGAAAGGTTTTTCCTTCCGACAGGAAAGGTTTTTCCTTCCGACGGTTAAGCCACAAACAGATGTCCGACGTACCACCAACCGAGCCCATTCCCAAACCAGAGGAACCTAAAGCACCAGCCCCTGCACCTCAGCAACCTCAGTTCCAGCAAGTCCCTCCACCAAATTACTACCAATTTCCACCTCAAGGTTACTACCTACCACAAGGCTTCCCGAACTACCCTCCTCCTCAGCCTATGCCTTACTTCCCCAACCCTTGGATGTTTATGCAAAACCCTGCCCCACAATTCCAATCTCAATCCAAGAGAGACCAAGAGTTCGAGGAAGGTCTGAACCGCTTACGCAAAGAGTATGCTACTACCCCAATGGAAGAAGACAGGCTTTCAGTCTCTTCCCTCAAATCGACCGATTCGACTCGTACCACAGATTCGGTTCGTGACCGTGAAGACTACCTCAAGCAGTCTGAGAGACTCTTCATCCTACAACCATTTACAGTTGGAGCTCTCAAGAACATGCGCAATTACGAAGGTCAGACACCAGCTGGAGACCGCAAAACAGACGTACTCGCAGGAGCCGTCCAGCTCGTCAAACAAAGACTGAGATAGTCGACTTCATTCTTGCAGCTTGCCCATACAAGTAAAAAAAATAAACAATTACGAGTTAAACTTTTTATTCTTTCTTTTCTGAGTTGTTTAGAGCTGGTTTCTCTTGTAGGAACCTTTCGTACTCTTCCATGGTCATGTAATTGCGAATTTGGTACGCAATTCCAGGTTCGTTGTTTTTGAACCTTACGTATGTAACGCTTCCATCCTCCTCAGGGAAGTAAGCTGCTAACATCTGACCAAGTTTTCTCGGTGACTCGGAGCTCATTAAAAATGTCACTTTTTAAACGTTAAGTTTTTAGTCTTATTTTACCCTTTGTTTACCCTTTGTTTGTCAAGGTAGTATTGGAGTGCAATTTCTCCAAATTCTCTGTGTCGGAGTTCTTCAGCATTTTCCAAGGTGTACCTGGAGAACTCAAAGAAGTTGTCAAGAAGATACTGCCATGCTGCTCTTCTGAGTTCGTCGGTATTTTGGAAGTGTTGCACCTTCGAGTCTTCGGACATGAAAAAAATTACACTTTTTCTATTAAACCGTTTTGGCATTTCTCATGAGTGAGTATAGTTCTGCCGAACCATTGGAAGAGAAGAAGTACCCTTGCTGGCAAAAGACAAAAATAGTTGCCTTAGTTGTCATTGCAATTGTACTCGTAATTGAATTCATTGTACTTCTCTTCACGTACATAAAACTCAGCAATGGTATTTGCTTTAAGAAGCTACCATCTTACTAAGACTAAACACTTACATTTTTCAAGCTTGACTTTTACAATTTGAATTTTACACCCAAAAATATATTTTAGGGTAGAAGGGTATATCTACCCCGTTTTCTACCCTCTTTTCTACCCTCGTAGAAAACACACAAAACTCTTGAATTTTGTTGCTGAATTCAATAAAAATATATTTTAGGGTAGAAGGGTATATCTACCCCGTTTTCTACCCTCTTTTCTACCATCGTAGAAAACACACAAAACTCTTGAATTTTGACACTTTCACAAAAAACATAAAAAACATAAAAAATAAAGTTAGTTTTTTTAAAAAAATATTTTTTATTTTTATTGTAAGAACATGTTAGCAACAACAGCACCAAACTCGTTAGTCATGAACCCAACTTCAATGTTAGTAGAGATGAAAAGCTTCATTCCTTCTTCATATACTTTCGAAACAGAAATCCAGAAGATAAAGCAGGAACTTCTCCAAGGAGATTTAGACTGTAGTGCAAAAGATGAAACAAATGAACAGTATCTTTATGAAATGCAAGATATTATAGACCATTTGCCTAAACTACCTGAAATACAACAACAAAAACTCACTATTCCAGAATTCGATGAAATTGAAGTCAGACTGACTGACTCAGTAGAAATAAAGAAGTTCATACGAAAGGTAAACTATGAGTTTCTTGGATTTCATTGCAACCACAAAGTCATGGACAAAGATTGCGATATGGTATATAAGAACATCTCTGACATATACAAATCTGAAGAATTTAAGACCTACGATAACTTTGTTTCGTTAGTTGCAAAATGTGTATGGCAGATAAGAGATAAAGATAGAAGAGGTAAGATATGGAATGAACAGATAAAACCCGCAACTTTTGAGTTAAAGAGAGCAATTGACGCCTTAGTCATACTAGCAGGTAAGGTTTCAGAATATAACGCAAAAATGAACCCACAATGTTCTAAATGTAAAGCAGCAATGAGGAAATATAACTACTCCGTCAAAGAGATAGAACGTATGAGAAACGACTATGCTGACTTAAAGAAAGAAGTAGAGAAACCAGCAGAAGATAAAATGGACATGTTGACATTTCTGAACAAAAACTATCCAACAGCAGAAGATTTCCTTCTATCTGACGTCAAGAAGAAGTATAAAGAAACTTTCGGCATTGTTAAAACATTCGATATCCTTCGTGAAGAAATCGAAGCCACAAAATTGTTTAGAATTTCACGAATTCACAATGTTTACCATGTAAAACGCTTATAAAATAACTGGGGTAGAAAAGAGGTTAGAAAACAGGTTAGATCTAACCATCTACCCTAAAATATATTTTTATTGAATTCTGAGTAAAATTCTGAGTAAAATATATTTTAGGGCTTGTGTCAAACCGTTGAGTTTTCACAAAAATTTTAAAAAATAACGTTTACCATGTGAAACGTTTATAAAATAACTGGGGTAGAAATGAGGGTAGAAAACGGGGTAGATATACCCTTCTACCCTAAAATATATTTTTGCTGAAAAAAATGACCAAATTTCATGAAATTTCTCTAGACCGACTTTTACAGGGGTAGCCAAAACTCATGAAAATCGTAAAAAATAAGAGAGTATTTTGACAACTTCAAACAAGTAGGGTAGATGCACTCTTTATTTTTCAAGCTTGACTTTTTACAATTTTGAACTTTGTTCGCGTAGATGTGAATTCTGAAAGAAGTATGAGGGTCTTGTATGACTTTGTACTTCTCCCATAGTTCATGTCTGTCAAACTTACCTGCCATGGACTCTTTCATAAGTTCCATGAAATCGTCTTCGGACAATCCAGGGAAAAGTATGATATCAGTAAGTATTCTTTTAACATCCTTACTTAAACTCTTTGCTGTCTGTACACAAATGACAACTGAGATGTTAAAGTGTCTGAGCTTCTTGAGAATTCGACACATGTCTTGTTCTCTGTTCTTTAACAAAGGATGAGAAGCAAAGTCATCTAAGATAAGAAGACATCTATGAGGGTATGTCTTCCAATCGTAAGATTGCAATTTCTTCGAAATGTATTCTATCTCTTTCTGTTTGTTTCTGAAGTGTTTCTTCTCTAATATTCTCTGCATTTCCTCATTTGGGTCTTTAAACTTAGAATTTATATACTCATTATAGCATTATACTTCAAAACTCTTCTTTGGTACTTCTTTATCCAATCCAACAACTCAGAGTCTTTTATACATACTAACTTAGACTTTTTTTATAATATCTTTGAACGAATTTACGGTTTGGTCAAATTGACCAGAAGTACTACAAATAACAACTAACTCATAGAATGGGTTCTTCTCATCTAGTTCTTGTTGTTGTGCAGCCATTTTAAGATAAGTGAAAGTCTTACCCGACCCAGGCGGTGCAATTAGACCTGTTATACCATTCTGAGCAAATAAGAACTTGTCATGTATAGGCTTATCTGAGCATTTTCTAACTTCCTCTGTTCTTGTTTAAAACATTCTCAAATTTCTTGTCAATGTCAGCAAACTTTTTTTCTAACATATTTTTAGAAAAATAAAATTTTTATCTTTTGAAAATGTTCTAGCGGATTTCGCTATCTATATTCGAGACAAGCTTCGACAGCAAAACATCTGTAGACCATAAAATCTTACATAGTGTAAACAAGAAAGGTGAATTTGTTCTAAAGTTCTGTTTCTGGAATATGACAAGAACCATAAAACATTAAGCAGAGAAGTCTTAAAATTTGTCAATGACAGACTTGTTGACAGAGATGACGCCGATTGGAAAGCTGAAGTCCAACAAAAGTTCTTAGAATGCAAAGAAGACACATGCGCTGTTCTTGAAGATGAAATAGAAAACAGAATAGAAGAGCTATTAAAGGACAAAGACTTTTACAAAAATATGGTTCTGAGAAGTTTGACATAACTCCACCAGAGAAGAAGAAGAAGAGAGAGAAAAAAGAAAAGAAAGTAGAAGAAGAGAAGAAAGAACCTGAACCAGAGAAAAAGAAATTTGACATGTAAAAATAAAATTTTATTTTTAGAACATTTCTGGGTCAATGTCAATGTTCTTTCTCTTTAGGAGCAAACACTGGCTTAGACTCTAAAATCTTTTTACCCAATTTACCTTGAACTTCAACTATCTTAGACTCATAATATTCATAGTCGTCTGCTTTCTTTGGTTCATAAGGTATAACAAGTTTGTATGCTTTGCCTTCTTCGAGTTTGAGAACTTTCTGTCAAAATTTTCTTTGACTGCTAACAAACCTTCTATGTCTAAGTCTTCAAATTTCGCACCATTTTTAGTCACAATAGCAAACTTAACTGGTTCGATGTTCCAAACTTTGTCAAATGTAGACTTTTCAAAATGGTAGAAGTAAACATTCAAATATGCGAATGGGTCTAGTTCTTCTTTGACTTCTGTCATGTACTTATTTACTGAGATGAATTTTGCCATCTTTTCTATCGGATAAAAAAATATTTTTTTAAAATTTACTCAGAAAAATTTTTCTTTGTATATACGCCGTTCTGAACATCTAAAAGATTTTTGACATTTGCCAAGAATGTTCGTTTAGACGCTGTCATATAACCATACTCTTGACAATATTGTTTATATTCATCGTACAATGACCTTTCATCTAAACACTCAAAGTCAGTTTCATCTATAAACAGTTCATAACACTCTTGTTTGCTTCTAACAATGTTTGTCTTCTTCGGTATGTGGAATTTGTCTTGGATTGAACTTAGAAATATCTAATGTCATGAAATATGAGAACAAGTGGTTGTAAAAGTCAGATGTCAAAGTTTCTGCAAAGCGTCAAAATATTCTGTATCTTGCATATGAGAATCTGACGTTCTGACAACTACATATCTTCTGTCAGAACTTTCTAACTTCATCGGAACAGCATTGTTTGAAACCATAATGAAGTTTGCAACATTTTCACAAACTCTTTGGTCTTTATATTTTCTTTCAACAACTCCAACTTTGTCTGTTATAAGACTCTTCAAAGCATCTGAGTTTAAAACTTTGTTGTATCTATACTTTGAAGTTCGTTACATACTATAAGTTTCATATTCTCTATTGGAGTTAAATTTACCGCAGATGTTTTCTAAGTTTGTCATATTCGGGTTCGAATAGCCCTCTAACAGTTTGCACAAAATATCTGTAAAGAAAGTGTTCTTACCTGTTCCTTGTTTTCCAATTTAATGAGAGCAGTTTCATTTTTAGCACTTGGATGTTGTAAGATGTTTGCAAACCAACATAAGATATACTCATAGACTCTTTCGTTTCCATTGCATATAATTTCTTTGACATGGTCTAACCAAGCTTCTATAACATTTTCTTTCCATTCTACTTGTTCGTATTTATATCCAGTGAAGATAGAATAGAAGTTTGGAGAAGGTGTATAAACTTTATACCACGAACTGAAAAATCTTCTAACTTTGACAATAAGATATCCCAAGCATCTAACATCTTCATACCAACTTGTACGACTTTTATTTTCTTAAGTTTCTGTCTACATTCTTGTTCTGAAACTATTGTCGCTCTTGGTTTGTTAAAGACAACATCCCATTCTTTCATGACATAACATTCTGGGGCAGAGTCGACATAAATGACTAAACGTTTCAAATTCTCGACTGCTTTGTTATAGTCTCGAAATGGACACATATTTCTGAATGCTTGGAAGTCATAAAAATCTGAAAATCTATTCTGTACATTTTTATAAAAATAAAAAAAATATTTTTTTTATTCTTGACTTTGTTGTTGCATTTGTTCCATTTGTTGCATTTGTTGTTCTTGAGCTATTTGTTGTTGAAGTTGTTCTTGTATACAATACTTTCACCAGTTGCATCTTCCAATTCGAAACTTTCTGCCGTCATTGACAAATACATAGGACATAAAAGTTTTACAGGAACAAAGTTTGCGTCAACTAAGGTTAAGTTTATGTTTGCTAAAGTGTTTGAGTTCACTAAAGCTGAAAACTCTGCATTCGAATGAACAATAGGCAAACCAGCAGAGAAAGTGTTGTTTATACGCATGAGTATCTTTTGGTCATAGTAGTTTCTGTCGACATTCGAATAGCACTTTGAACCTAAGTTTGAAACAATATATAAAATAGGTGTACTTAAAGTCAATGGAACAGACAAACCTTGTATGACACCTTTTCCTGTTATAGGAAACTGTTGGTAGTAAAAACCAGATATAAGTTTTGTATTATAGCTCATATCGTTTATAGTAAACTCAGTCGGACATCCAAACATAATGAAACCTGCTCTAGTTGCAGCACATGTTACATCCGTCCTTAAAGTATTAAATAAGTCAACAAAACCTGTTGGTGGTATATCTGAGTAAGTATCTTCAAAGAAGTATTTTTTACCATTCACAACAACAAAGTCTTCTGGTGTCAAAAGAGCAAAACAGGCTTTAGTCGTCATCGTGTTTAAGGTCAGTTTACAATATCGTCCTTGAGGACTTTGTAAGTTTGTTGTTATAGAATTATATGACTCAGGGTTTTTAGTCGTAATAGTATAAACCACTATGTCTTCTGCCATTTACATATATTTAAAAGTTTTTCTGAAAGTGGAGAAGAACTTCATCTAAACTTTCACATGGCGTTTCTTGAAGTTCTCTGTCTAAGAAGTTCAAATATTTTGTAAAGACATAGAACTTTCCTTTGTCTACACGAACAAACAAAACAGGGTCTTTCATATCGTTCAAAAGTGTGTAAAGTCCTTTACATGAAATAAAGTCTATATTATTTTTCTTCAAACATCTTTCAAGAAGTTTTGACATTTTTACTTAGCAACTAAATTTTAATGAAATGTTGTGGTCGTCAAATATTTTTATGACGTCTGGGAAACTATATTTTAAGTTCAACGTTTCACCTCCTTTCATAACGTATATCTTGTCAATGACATGTATGAAACACCACAGCAAGCAATGTCGGGTTCTATTTCTTTGATGTTTATATCGTCTGCCTCTGTCAAAAGTTTCAATAGTTCTTTCAAAATTTCATGAGGTGCGATGACATATGAGTTCACTTTTACAGGGTTGTGTTCGACCAAGTTTAACATTATACCAAAGCTTGACAAATCTTCTCCTGAGTTTTAAGTTTGTCTTTAAGTTGTTGGTAGTCGTTTCGAATATCTGCAACAGAACTTAAGTCTCTGCTAACTTCAGGATATGTTGGTTGTTCTTTTACAGGAACAATTGTTATACCATCTTCGTCTTCGTATGGTTTCCCCACTTCAACATCTCTTCTTTGACATTGACAACAACACTTTGACTGTTTGTTTGAGTTGGTGAATTTAACTTCACATCTGCCACCGCCATTAAACCTTTTGAAACACTTACGCTTCTATTTTTCGGAAATGACATTTTACTTAGAATAAAAAGATGGACGTATTTGAGTATCTCTTCGAATTGAAGCAAACAAAGTTTACACACACAAACAATACAAGTTCATTGACAGAATAGTTCTTTATACAAACAATGGAAAATGTTATAGAATAGCAGTCTTTGCTGAACCAAAATATTTTCATAAAGCAAAGAAAGTTGGTATAACGAAGATGGTGAAAGTTCTTGAAGCAGACAAAAATATAACAACAAAACTGACCGATATTTCTAAAGGAAAGTTTTAATACAATATTATATCAAAACTGGCGTACTGTCAATATTTGACGGAGAGAAGTCAGTTCAAGAACAACTTACTGACCTGCTGCCAAAATCTGCTCGATGGAAGCTGTCGTTATACCAATCTGAGGAGCCCCAGCAGGTTTCATCGAACGAATCTTCAAAAGAGCATCTTCCGTGAAAAGTGCTATTGGTTTTGTAAACTTCTTTGCTTTCAATTCATCTGGACCGTCTCTGTCACCAGTATATTGTATTTGAACTGTACCAACAGTTGAAATACCACCCATAAAGTCTTCTGAGTCAGCAAATGGAATGCCAAGCCAAAAGTTTGAACGGTCTCCATTTGTATATTGAGTTTTTTGAGCTCCTGTATGAGTCCATACTTTCACATATGGCATAATAGAACTTTGCATTTCAGGGTTAATGGTTGTTGTGAAGTTGTTGTTAAAGTTCATAGCATCTAATGTCAAGTTGTATGACCTCATATCCTCAACTGTAGAATATTCTTCTCTTGGATATATTTGCCATCTATGTTTATATGATATTTAATACCAGGGTTGTAGAAACAAGAATAGTCATTTATAGTTCGTCTGAACAGTACAAACATAGTATCTGCATGTTTCATTGCAGTTGTTAAAGCAATATCTGTTCTTGCACCTGGGTCAGCACTTTGGTTTCCAACTTCACCTGCAAAGTCTTTGACAGATATTTGGTGTATAGGGAACATAAGTGGAACTGCAATATATTTGGCAGCTAAAGCATTTGAAATATCTGGGTCCAACATATAGACTGCAAGTCTGCTTTCTATTCTCTTGCATTCAAACTTTTCGCATGTGAACTTAACTGGGTCCCAAGCATCTCCAGCAGCATTGAAATAATAGTTTACTTCAGTGTTGAGGTTTGAGAAACCAAAGTCTAAGTCAACTTTGTTTTTGCAAAAGTCGGCGAATGACATTTTATTTGTTCCCACTACTTCTGTAAGAGTGAATGGGTCTTGTGTTGGTGCAATGACTAAGTTATTTTTGCTTGGAGTAAGTTCGATAGAAATTTTTCCTGCCCAGTTTGGCAAGTATCTTAAAAACCTGAAGATGAGGAAAGATGACAAAGGAACTCTAAGTTTCAGTTTTACTTTGGTTACTGCTGCTGCAGTTTGTCCAGAAAGGTAACATAAACTCCTGGAACGTTAGGGTCAAGTCTTCTTATTTTCTCAATAGTTGCATACTGGTCTGTTTGTTCTCTAGCTTGTGGTTGTACTGAGTTTCTCAAAGCGAACCATTCATAGTTTGCCCATGTTACTGTTTGAACTAAGTCAGAGTTAGAATATATCTTATATCCCATGAAAACTTCTGGAGCATATTGGTATCCGACATAGAAAATTCCATTGCAACCTTTCTTGTCAGACAACTTGGCAGAAGGTTTTATTTCAATGTCTTGTTCCACGTATAAGAATGAGTTGTCAATAGAAATAATATGAAACCTGTCGCAAGCAATATCTACTGTTGTTGAAGAACCTTCTCCAAACTCACCTACATTTCCATAAGAAACAGCAGTTGTATATTCGTAAGTTCCAGGAACTATTTCTGACCTTCTAATGGCATTGTCGCATTCGTTATACCATTCGGAAACATTTCCATTCATAGCATCCAAAACTGTTGGCGTTATATTCTGAGCGGCGTACATTTCATATGAGTAAAAATATAGAATAGTTGGATTTATATGTCATAATAGAACCCACGTGGACCAAGCTTTACTTTCTTCCTGACTGAGTTTTTAACTCTTCTTTTTCCTTCATTGCCCTCTGCTTGAAGTTGTTGCATCTTTGCATTATGTTCATCTAGTATGTTGCAAATTTCCCATGTCCTTTTTGCCTTTTGGCTCTGGTCGCCCATCTCAGGTAACCTATATCCTAGAAAGAGTTTGTCATAGTCTGTATTTGAGTCTTGCGTATTGTTTGCATGACTCTTTCCTGAGTTTCTGGTTCAAGCTCTTCAAACAGTGCCTGTCCATATGGAATAAGCTCGTTTCCAAATATATGTTTTTGTAGCCATTCTGGTTTTCTTTCCATGTTACCAACTATATCTTTTGTGAATGGGAAAGCTTTTACCCAATCTTTCAGTCTTGCGTCGTTTATTTCTGTAGTTGGTTTTATTTTGTCAAGGAACATGTTTTTCAATACTAACATTTCATTTGGTACTGTCCATTTGAGTTTTCTTAAATATTCATCCCTTCTCGGTTCATTGTCTGCAAAGTAAGTTTTTATGACATTTTGCAAACTTTCGTTTGCAAGGTCATGTACAATAGGTTCTCTTCCTTCTCTCTCCCTAACTTTCTTTCTAAACTCTTCACCAAATATACCATCTCTATGGTTCTGTGTAGTTCTTTGAGATAAATGTTCTAGAACGTCAGGTGTTATATTTCCATCAGCCATGTTCATTTCATACTGGTCCAAAATATCTGCATGTTTCATATCTTTCAATGGCATTAAAGCCGCGCTTAAAATACCAGCTATATCTCGTTCACCATTGACTTCCATTGCGTCTACAACTTCTTGGAATTGTGGTTGTAAGTTTATGAACCACCTATCTGGATTAGCTTTATGACCCCATCTCATTGTAGTTCCATCGTCTGCAGAAACAAAAGTAGGTTTGTTTCCATCTTGGTTAGGTTCTGAATGAACTTTAAACAATGTTTCATTTCTATATGTTTTCTTGAAATTTAACCTTTTATTTTCACCGAGTTCATCCGAAGATTGAACGTTAAATGCTCGTAAGTAAAAAGGGTTGTTGTATTTGTGTACATTTTTTTCAGTTCTTCCATTCTATGCTGATATTTTCATCTGATGTTGGAGTCTTTTGTATGTCGGCAAACATTTTTCGATATTCTTCTACTATGTCAGCCGAATTTTTTTTAGACTCTTGGAAATATTCCATATTCTCCGCATACTCTTGTTGAGGGTCAAGATTTTTCGGCTGTTCCAAATCTTCATCTAGTTCTGTGAAGTTAGTTTCCAAAGGAGGACTTGTTCGTTTCCTTCAGGCTCTTCTAGCTGTTGTTGCTGAACTATTTCTTCCATGTCTGGTTGTATCTGAACTTCTTCCTGTGGAGTTTCTTGTACCTCATCTGCTGGCATTTCATATATTCCGAGACCGTTTTCAACAATTTCCCTATCTACGTCATCCGCATTCATAAGCTTTTGTTCTTTCGTTCCGTCTCTATTTTTTACGCGTTTCATGACGAAAGTTGAATTGTCATTTAGCTCTGACATCAAATATCTCGGAGTAAATTCATCCATGTCATTTGGATGATATGCTATTAAATCATATCCCTTAGCGAGCTTGTATTTTCCAGGTTTGAGATTATATCCGTTTTGGTGCTGAGCCATAAAGCTAAATAGGTTCGGGTCAGTATTTCCATCCTTGAACTTTCTAATAGCTTCTTTATATCTGTCACTAAAGTCAACAGTATCTGGGAAACCACATCTTTCTTTAAGCATTTTTAAGAATTCTTGGTTTCCTTGTTCTCTACTTCTTTTATGTCCTTGCTCTGTTTGTGGTTGTTGTTGTGCAGGTTTTGAACTGTTGGTTGCTGTGCTGGTTGTTGTGTTGGTTGTTGTGCTGGTTGTGGAGGTGGTTGTTGTGCTGGTTGTTGGTGCATGCCTGTGTCTGTGTCCATGTGACGATGTAAATGTTCTAGGTAGTCCTGGTGCAGGTGCTTCTCTTGGAGGGTTTGGTGGTATATAAGTTCCACCAGCTGGCACATATGTTCCATCTGCAGCGTAATGTCCTACCTGACTTTTCGTTTTTAAGAAAGCATTTACTAGGTCTGTTTTGGTCTGTTGTAACTCTTTTTCTTGACTTTCCACAACAGTTGCTCTAACGGCGTCATAGGCACTTTGAACTGCCTGTCTCGTTGCTGCATCTGTTATTTTCGTCATATTTTGTGCTACTTCTCTTAACTCTTTGTCGAAACCTTCAGACTTCAGTTTCTTTCCAGATGAGAAGTCGTTCACTTGTTTCACCTTACTATGAAGAGCTTCGAAGCGTTCTTAAAGTCAGCATTTGTTAAAGCTTCATTTGAACTGTCTTCATCCGCTTGTATTTTTGTCCTTATTGACCCTATGAGTTGGGCTGCTTTAGCGTTGGCTTGGGCATCTAACCAGTCATTGTTAGCTTTTATATATTCTGAGCTTTTCATTGCCTTTTGCATAGCCGCGTCGTTATTTTTACTTTCTTGTGCTAAGTTTTCATACTGTACGGTTTGGTTTTGCAACTGTAAAAGTTTTTCTGCCTTTACATTTGCTTCAACTTCTTTTTTATACTCATCGCTATCCATATATGTCTTCAGGGCTTTTTGTTTTATCTCTTCATCTTTCAGTACTTTATATTGAGTAGTATGGTTTTTCAAATTTATGACATCTTGTTCCATTTTTGCTACTTCTGCTGCTTTTTCTGACACTTTTTTCGCATATTCCTCTGTACTTAGTTCTTTCAGTTGTTCTTCTTTCTTCTTTTTCTCTACGTTTAACTCATTGAGTTTCTTTGTGTGTCTGTCATATTCTAGTTTCTTTTCGTTTTCACTTATTTGCTTCTGTATGTCTATGTTTGACTTTTTGACATCTGTTATTTGATTTTTGAGTGAACTCAAATTCATTTGACTTTGAGGGTTATAAGCTGTTCCGTCTGCAGCTCCACCATAGCCTGCCATTTTCGCTAAAAGTGCCGCTCTTAAACCTCCACTCTGTGCACCAATAACTCGGTTTAAAAGCATAGGGTTGCTTGACATTTGTTGCAACATAGTGGGGTCATTCAGCATTTGTTGTTGCAACTGTTGTTGTGGTGTCAGTTTTACTATTGGATGTTTCAATGCTCTCTTCCTCTTACGTATATTCTTACGTAGCTTACGTGGCATTTTAAGTGAAGTTAAAAAGCGGTTTTTGACAGATGTTTATATGACACTTTTTGTTCAGCACAAAAAACTACTCGGTCAAAGTGTTGTCAGTTTTGTAAAATATTTGTTATATCGTTCTATAATATTTTTTTAAAGTACTCAAATATATACTTTAGAAAAGTGGGTCTATCTCTATGAGCGTTGACGATAGACCATTATTTGTTCGAGCAAATATATACTATCGTATGTTAAAAATATTTTGACAAGTGTAAAGTATGTGTAAGCTCCTTTCTGTCAAAAGTTTGTCCGATGGTGAAAAATATGTATTTAAGAGTCAAAATGTGAAGTTATCTTCTCAAATATTTGAGATGGAACGGTTTGCCAACGGAGACTTTTCAATAAAATAAAATTATAGATGGGGTTACCGTTGACGAAAACGGTTTATTTTAAACTTTTCTATGAGTAGTCCGAAAAAAACAGTTTATTTTTCATAATGGAAGGAAGAAAAAGTGTCGCAAACAATTCGTCGACTACCTCTGCAGTTAAAGTTCCTACAACTTATGTCTCACCATTCTCAAAACCCTTACGACCTCCTATAATACCAAAGCAACTCCTCATACAATTCAAGACAAATTGTTGGACAATATGCATTTGCACAAAGAAACAGCTCAGCCAACAGGTCAGGCAACAACAACTATCGGAACAGAAGCATTTTCAGAAGAAGTTCATACCAATCAGACTCCAATCGAACATACAGAAACACAACCACCCGAAAATACAGAAACACATCCAATCGAACATACAGAAACACATTCTGCAATGACCACTAGGTCGCAAACACGATATCTCGCCTTTAGCAAACAATTTAAGTCTCAAATTCAAGACACACAAGATAGCGACACTCCTCTTTCAGAGAAAGTTCTAGAAAATACGCAAAGAAAAGGTTAGAATTGTTAGATAAGTTAAATGAACAGTGGGGTTCAGAAGACAATCGAGATTATAACGAGATGTTTCAAGCTGTCATGGATGCCATTCAGCCTCTTGAAAACGAAATAAAAGACCCTGGCGTACTTGTTGACATGTTTGCTTCATATTTACCCGTTACTGCCAATCTCATAGCGTTGCAAGCTATTGACCAGTTCATTCACTTGTTTCCAAAGAACTTGCAGAAGCATTTACAAGAAGTTAAAATTGCTGAATTTGTCCGTTTATATCCAAATTCATACAATTATTTGGAAGAATTGAATGAACATGGTGAAAGGTCATTCTATTTATATTTCTACACAAAAGACAACCAGTCAAAACGACTATACTGCATTGAACCTTTACCAGAATTTCAAGACAATTTCCACGTTATAACAACTGTTGCTTTAGATATTCCTGCCAGAGTTCCATATGGAGGAACAGTAACTATCTCAAGCTTTCCCAAGGGCTCTAAAGGAAAGCCTCTCACAATTGCAAAATTCACACACAGCAGTTGCCAATTTGTTCAAGATGTCGAGTTCCATTTCCTCAACAATACGACTTTCATCATAGAGACTCCTCAAGAAGGTTTATACAAAGTTTTCATCGCAGGATTTGTTGCTCCCAATGGCGAAGAAGAAGAAGTCGAAGAAATCCTCACCTCAGAGAGCGAAGAAGAAGAAGAAGTTGAAGAAATCCTCACCTCAGAGAGCGAAGAAGAAGAAAATTTCCAAGACATTCAAGATTCAGAATATACCGAATAAAAAAACAATTTAAGACTAAAACATTTATACTAAACATCTTCAGGGCTAGAAGGGGCGCAGCCCCTGGAAGCCCCACTTCCCTTTTTTTTTTTTTTTTTTTTTTTTTTTTTATTCTTCATTCAAACATTTTACGAATTCATATATTTTAATAATCTGTATATTCATAATCATAATAATAATCATAATAATATTGCTGAAAATATAGATTACTATAATATAGGAATTCGTGAAATATGTTTCGATATCTTTCTAAATCATTAATTGAAATAGAAAGAACTTTCATTTAAGGGTGCATTTACACCCATCGGACTTTAATTCAAACTTCTGCTAACTGGCGTGAGACGTACTTGAAAAATAACCTTGAAGATTGGAATTGAAGGCCATGTCATATGGGCGTAAGTGCATCACGAATTTCTTCATTTCATAAGATCAATGTTGCTCAAATATTTCATTGTATGCCATAAAGATATATGCTTTTTAGGCTCTCTGGATGAAAATCACTGTGCTTAATCGATATTCTGTCGCCACATACATATTAAAATCAAACACATATCCATAAGACTGAAAAATAGAAGTGCGATATATGTAAATAATGAATCAATTGAGATCATATTAATGGAATTCAAGATAAAGAAAGATATAGATATAATGAGGAAAAACATTATATTTGATAATCATTACATACAAATATTCTCAATTGATTCATTATTTACATATATTGTATTAATAGAATTAAAGATAAAGAAAGATATGTAGATAAAGAGGAAAAACATTATATTTGATAATCATTACATACAAATATTTATTCGAGAATATAGATATAATGAGGAAAAACATTATATTTGATAATCATTACATACAAATATTTATTCAATACCGTAATCTTTCTTCATGCTGTTTAACATTGAGATGAAGGAGTTCTTTTTCTTATTAGATCGTTTCAGAAATTCTGAGAGATGATATAAATCTCCGAAAAGCATTTGAATGGATTTATAATAATCTGGTGATTGACGGAGTCTTCTTTTAATAGCAGTAAATTCTGCAAAAAGTTCTGAATTATTGTTATTACTATTAGATTTCGTAATTTCGAGCTGAGATTCACATTTTTCTACTGTCTCTTTGAGCTGTTCCAAAAGAGCTTCTTTCTTCTGATTGTACTCTTCAAGTTTAGCTTGGACAAATTCTTTGTCAGTACTACTGTTTTCTGTAAGCTGATATAATTTCTCTAGAGGGATACATGCTATGCTCTGCCTTCCTTCAAGGTCTGTTGGTGGAGTATCTAATAATTCTGGCGGAATAATATGAAATCGTTTACCATACCGATTTTCAAGCGATTTCATCTGGAGTCTGACTTCTCGGTTAAATGTATAATAGTTGATATATGGATCAACGTGTAAATACGAAGTTGTGACACCATTATAATCTTTAATGCGGCCAATCCATCGATTAGGATTCATAAGAATCTTTTCTGTATTGAAACCTTGCTTACAAAAGTATTTAACGGCGTCGTTGTCTGCACAAGTAATAGCATCGTAGCATTCTATTGATTGCATAAGTTGTTTTAAGTAATTCATGATTAACCGACCATAACCTCCACTTTGGTATTCGGATAAGACCGAAACAAAGATGATTTCCAAAAAATTGACATCTTTTTCTGGAAACAAACGAGATGTAATAGCAGAAATTACAGTACCTTCTCGAAGAATTGTCACTGAATAGCAATGATAGTCAAAAATTTGACGAACGATGTAACTTATTTCCATGTTTGGTAATTGTGATGAAAAAACTGATTTACAGCTATTTAAAAGCATGAGTGCTTGTGGATGAACTTTGTAATAATTTTCTACGATTTTAATCTGAATACCTTGATAATCATCAACATATGTTTTTGTTTTTGGATCGGAGTGCTGAAAAGATCGAGGCTTGACATGAAGTCTTGATATATGCCGAATTCCTGGGTTTATTCTCAAGTTTTTATAATGAGGTTCCCGGTTCAACCAAATTAGATCATTATTCATTTTTACAATTGATAAATATGATTGCAAAAATTGATATGATACTTCATAATAATAGCAAACTTAAGATTTATGAATCTATATAACTTATATCAAAATTTGAATTCAAAAAAATTTATTACAAATCTAAAACGGCAGGTAATTAAAAAACACATGCTTTGTAAACATTTATAATATCAAGAGAGGGAGAAATTCTTTATCATTATATTTACAATTTCTCTCCTCCTTCTTTTTACCTCAATTCAGAACTTCTCCTTCCTCTTTTTCATATCAAAAGATGGTATCAAGAAGACGCCAACAAATCTAGAAAACAGAAAGAAAAGGAGAAAATTAAACGAATAAGGAGAAAAGAAAACAATGAAATCCATATTTCACCCCGAACTTCATTAACATTTTGTAATATTGGTCGAAGTTGGTAACATGTTCGAATTTTTCTCATATGAATACTTATAATTGTGAGCTTTATCGATCGAAATTGAGCATTTTGACAAAAATCATTGAAAAAAATTCAATGTGTATGGAGGTTAACAATACTAGTGAACAGCCTTCCAATGGAAAGCGGATACGCTTAGCTGTAATCATATCAACGATAACCGTTATTGCTATATGTGCCTCTCTTGTCATTCTTGCAATTATTTTACATTCAATAAAGAATAAGAGTAATAATGACAATAATAGCAATCAGAACAATAATAATGACAACAATAGTACCAACAATGATGATAACAATAACACAAGTACCAATGAAACCAATAGCACTAATTATGAAAGGGTTGACACACATCCATTTATTCTAATTGAAAAAGATGAACGAAATAATATCCTTGATGCAATAAATAAATACCCTGAAATGAATTATGCATGGGAATATATCTCATATCAAGCGTTTCGAGTTCTGAGTTTATCACCACTGGTTTATAATATTGTAGGCTCGGATTTGCTAGGTGTTTCTCGTGAAGCATTGAGAAGAATTTCATATATGTCAATAACATATTATTTAACGAAGAACCAAACGTTATTAGAACGTGTTGAGCAAGAATTATTAAATGTGTGCAGCTTTTCGGATTGGCATCCATCTCATTTCCTTGATACTGCTGAAATGACCACAGTTGTTTCGATTGGATTAGATTGGATGTTTGAAAATCTATCAGAATCGACAATTAATATCTGTAGGCAAGCAATCAATGAATTCTTCATTAAATAAATGGCTGACATATACAAGCAACTGGAATCAAGTATGTAACTCCGGCATGGTATTTGGAGCTCTCGCTATCAGAGATTATGATAAAAATCTATCTGATTTCATTATTAATCGGTCAATACAAAGTATTAAACTGGCAATGCCTATGTATAACCCTGATGGTAATAATCCTGAAGGATACACATATTGGTCGTATGGTACAACTTATAATTCACTGATGATTGATAACATTATAAAAAATTTTGGAAAAGATTTTGGTCTTATGGATATGTCTGGGTTCAAAACTACTCCTAATTTTATTCATTACATGGTTGGAACGATTGAACAATCATTTAATTACGGAGATGCAGAAATTGATATGGAATTATTCCCAATTCTTTATTGGTTTGCTTATAAACTCAAAGATGTCAACATGATATTCGAAACACAATCTTGGCTACGAAGGATACGAATTAGTCCTCACAGATTAAACCCAATAATTTTAATTTTCGGTTCACGAATGAAACTCAGCGAATCCAGTGAGCCAACAAGCAAATTCTATTATGGTAGAGGCACTTGCCCTGTCTTCCTCGCTAAAACAAACTGGACAAAAGGAAATGGATTTTATTTAGCGATGAAAGGTGGATCTTCCAACTTAAGCCACTCGCACCAAGATGCAGGATCATTCATATTTGAAGCTAATGGTGTCAGATGGGCTTCAGACCTTGGAATTCAAGATTATGATCAATTAAATAGGGATGGAGTCAAAATTTCCAATTTTGGACAACAGTCTGAACGATGGACAGTCTTCAGGTTTATGAGTATTGGTCATAATACATTAACAGTTGACAATGATTTACATAATGTTGCCGGATACGTCGGATTCACGCAAACATTTGAAGATGATAATAAACTCGGTGGACAAATGAATATGGTTGACTTATTCTTTGGAAAACTATCGAAATCTTTAAGAACTGTTTTATTATTAAATAATGAATACCTTGAAGTGACTGATGACATTGTTTGTGGCGATACAGCAGTTTTAGTTACATGGACAATGATAACTCCAACGTCAGATGCCACTGTAATCAGTACAAATCAAGTTCGAATTGGAAATGGACAAAAATCATTACTTTTGACTGTTGAAAGTCCTTCAGATGCAACTCTTTCCGTTACAAATAATGATCCGATCCATGACTATGATGCAGAAAATCCAAATACAAAGAGAATTCTAATCAAAGTAAATTATGCTGCTAATGAAGAAAAACAAATCAAAGTAACATTGAAACAACAATAATTTATCTTTAATTTTTGTTTGTAATATAAAAATATGTACATGAAATTTTAAATTTTTCGAATTTTTAGAAAATTTTCTAGAATTATATTTCATTTACATTCGAATATTAGTGGCATTGAGTGAGGGCTTTTAAATCGCTTCGAAATTGTTATCAGCTGTAATATATCATCATTCAGAATTTGATATGAAACAAGTTAGATGCGATAATCATCACTTCGAATTTATTATGTGATATATTATAACATTATTTCGAATTTGATATGAAATTAGTTAGAAATACTCATCATTCAGATCTAATATATAGTTTGAGATCGACAGTATGTAGTAATGTATTTTCAAATAGCATGCATTATTTTAATACAAACAAATAAATAATTTTATTCAAAATATAATTAATCTTCATCATCTTTGAAATGATTTGCTGGATTAGGATCCCATAATCGCAATAGCTCTTCATTCTTCTTTTTTCTTCTCTGTGTGACATCTGGGATTTGTGATTCTGCTGCCCTCTTCTCTTTCATTCGTCTATTTCTCTCTCCGACAATTTTAGCTCTTCTGTCTGTTCTCTTTGCAATAAATTCTGTGTTCTTAGCATTTCTAACTTTCTCTTCTATCTCACGTCTCCTCTTCATCTCATCTTCCATGCTGGCCTGTAAAGCTTCCTTAGGATCCTTCTTGACTATCTGTACATCTGCTTCAAGCTTTCGAATTGTAGCTGCAACACGTGCAGCAGTAACTCTGTTTTTAACATTTCGTTCGAAATCTTCTTCTTCGTTATATCTTTCCTGAGCTGCACGTAATGCAAGTTTCTGTCTGATAGCTTGATTTCGAAGCCTTGCTGCTTCTGTTTCATGAGGATCAACGTATGGCTTGCGACCAGGAATCTTTTCCATGGCTTCATCTTCATTTTCGACCATCATTGAATCGCTGAATGAAAAATCTGAATCTTCAGAAAGAGATGAAGAACTTGTCAAAGGAACAGGAGTAATCTTTGGATGAGTTTCTTCCCATTCTCTGACATTTCCTTCGTCAAGAAGTTTCTGAAGTGCTGTTTCTGTTTCAGCAAGTGTTGGTTCTCTTGGTGGTTCTTCGTAAATTGTTTCTTGAGCTAATTGTTCAATTCTCCTCTTTTCACGTTCTTTCATCATTTTTTCTTTGCCATTTTTAGTATAAATCTCTGGAGCGCGAAGTTTCATTCCACGCGGAGTATTATTTGGTATTTTCTTCCATTCATATTTCTTAGGAAGTTCAGTTTCAAGAGATTTACTCCTATGATGCTTAAATGAGGTTTTATACTGAGTATTTGCCTGCTTTTCCTGTGGTGGCTTTGGTGGGGATTTGGGCTTTGGCAATTGTTTCAGTCTTGATAAGAATTGAGGTGGATTATCTTTAATTTCGGAAAATTTGTAGCTTAAAGGTTCTTTTAGCCTTTTCTCGCGTTTAGCAATAATTTTTCTTGAAGCTTTGAATTTCTCAGGTAACCCATCTTTTGTATAATTAAGTCGATCATAATGCTTAACTTCAAGCTTTTTAACGTTTTCATCTTTCCATAATGGATATTTTTTCTGCTTTGCTTCTTTTGTTTCCTTCGTTAAAGTGCGCGAAGCTTTAAATTGTGGTGGAACTCCATTTTGAGTATAGTTTAGGTGGTCATAAGTTTTTCCGTCAATAGGTGGAACGTAATCATAGTTTTTGTATTTGAATCTCAAGATTTCTTTCGTTGAAATGTTTGGATTTGTTAAACTCATCTCTTTCGTTGAAAAGCTTGGATTAGCAAAACTTATTTCTTTGCTAACTGTAGAAACCATTGTAGATGATTGTGATGCAGTATCCACAAAACTTCTATCTGGTTCTGGAGGATCAAAATATGTATATTTTGCTTGACTTATTCTTAAATTCGAATCTCTTGTATTTTCAACTTGCCTTTTATTTGATTTAACATGAGTTGTAACTAAATAATCAAGTTCTGTTTGAAGTGGTTCGCCAATCTTTTCAGGAGCTATTGTTTGAAGAGTAATATTTAAATCTTTTTGTTTTTTCTTATGTTTCTTCTTTGGAGAATCTGATGAAGATGATGAAAAACTTGATGATGAGTTTGATGAACTCGAAGAACTTGAAGATGACTCAGAATCATCATCTGATGAGTCAGTTGACTCAACAGGAACCTGATCTAACTTAATTTCCTTAATTGGCTTGTCATCATCATCACTACTATCAGTAATTTCGAATCTATCAATGTCTCGTGGAGCTGTTGAAGACCAAGTGCTCGTACTCGACATTCTGTACGTTAATGGATAATTTTATCATCTGAGGGCTCCCTGTTGCATCTTTTTATATCACTTAATGGAGGTGATGTATATTTGACTTATTTCAAGCAGACATAAAGTAGAAATTTTCTCTAATTGCTCAATTTTTTGTTCGAGATTACCAAATATATCCAACAATTTTATAGATTCAACTAAATAAATAAAGAAAATGGTCATCAGCATCTAAAACTTATATTGTTTTGTTATCTTATGAAGATATACAACAATATTTATTCAATAAAAAATAAATTTGAGTTTATATCTTCATTTATTATAGATAATTTTATAAACAATAGTATAATATACAAATTCGGATTAAGCATTTAATATATTAGATTGTTATTTAAAAAAAAAGAAAAATATATTTCGTTTAGTATTTCTAGAATTTTTGATTTTAAAAAAATAATACACCTTTGTTTTAGCCTTCGTAGTTATCAATCTCCTGGAGAAGAGTATCCGGATACTTAGGTGAGTAGAAGTGAACAGCCTGCTCTGGGAATACGGCGTTGATAGCGTCGATGTAATCCCTGATCTTTGTGCCTGGCTGAGCAGGAATCTTCTGAACAGCCTGGAATCCGCCAGATGTAACGAATGGAACACGCATCTTTGGATTCTTTGGAAGTAGCTTGGAAATCTGCTCTAAGACATGCTTAAGGATATTCTCTGGAGCTGGTTCAATGAGTGGCTGAAGAGCCTCGATTTCATTGCACTGCTGGATAAGAACCTTAAGAGCACGTTTTGTTCTGAGTTTGAGATCGTCTGATGCGCCCTTGCTGTTGTGGGCTTCAAGAAGGAGAGAAAGAACGTTAAGAGATGCAAGTTTGGCTGCATTCTCTGGAGAATGGCTGCCGAGCTGACCAAGAGCCCAGGCGGCCATTGCTTGTGTAGATTCGTTCTTTGTTGTTGTAAAAACGTTGAGTACTGCTGATGGAGCGTTTGCCTGAATTAAAGATGTGGCAAGAGCTTGAGAATATGTTGCAATGTAGCCGATAGCAATGACTGCATGGAGTGGCTCGTTCTGTTGTTCTGGTTTGAGGAAGTCGACAAGAGCTGCAGCGCCATCAAAGCGAATGACGAGCTGAGCAAGTTCGATTGTATGAGAAACTGTCTGGCGGATGAGGACGGAGGCAGCCTTGCGAACGCCAGCATCCTTATCACGAAGGCAATTCATAGCTGCTGGGAAGATTTCGGCTTCAACAACGAGTTCTGCGCTATCGACAGAGTGCTTTGCGATGTGAGCAAGTGTTGTGCAGACTTGCTGCTTGAGCTTGGCATCGGAATCCTTGAGGAGTGGAGCAATTGTTGGAATTGCGCGGGCATCAATGACGCACTGAGCTAATTCTGGGTTGTGCTTAGCAATATCGCCCAATGTGCAGACAGCAATACGCTTGAGGGAAAGTTCTGGCTCCTGAACAGCTGTAATAAGAGATTGAATTGAATTGGCGTTGACGACGGCCTGAGCGAGCTCTGGCTTGTGGCTGGCGATAAAGCCGAGGGCCCAAGCAGCAGCTTCACGAACCTTGGAGTTATCTTGTTCAAGGCACTTTACGAGTGGATCGAGAGCCTTAGCATCAACGCACTTTTGGGCAAGAGCATCAGAATGCTTTGCAATTGTACGGATGACGAAGCAGGAATTTTGCATGATGTATTTGTCCTGGGATGAGAGGCCTGTAACAATTTCTGGTAAAATACCAGCATCGACGACCTTTGTTGCAATTTGTTCGCTACCATTGGCAAGACGGCCAATAGCTAAAGCTGCTGTTTGCTGGATTGCAGAGTAGTTATCGAGAAGGAGTGGTCTTAATAAAGAAAGAACATCACGCTCAATAAGTGATGGAATATTAGCTGGGCGTGAGGCCTCCTCGGCAACATACCTGACGAATTCTCGTCTGGCGTTTTTATATGTCTCAAACTCATTCTTCTGTTGTTTCGACATCGATAAAAATATTTGCAACGGACAAAAACGGATTTTTTCTAATTGTGGATTTTTTGTTCGTTTTCTTAATTGGATATGCATCTATAGTTAGTGTAACATCCATATCAAATTGTAAAATGCCTCAAATCCTTTTACATCAAAAGAATTTTAGTTTGATTGTTTCGATGTAAGAGATTGTAGCTCGTTTTTAATATCGTAATTAATTTCCTAGTATGTGATTTACTTAGATTTAGAACAAAATATCATTATCTTAATATTAATTTTAAAAAATGATATTCTAATAAAGAATAGAAGAACCTTAATATGTACTTCTCACATCCACGAATTCTAACTCATCTAGTTGATAAATAAAATTGTAAATCAAAATATAAAAATAATTTATAACATACAACATAGTTAGCTAATTAAAATGATTAATACATTTCATTCTGGCTTAAAAGTTTGAGTTTCATCTGCTCTAAATCATCTCTAACAACATCATTAATAAAGAATGCAGATCTCTTAGAATCAATTGTAAATTTGGCGATCTTAGGTTGCTCAGTCATTGGTATTGTATCTTTAACAATAGCAACTTGACCTTGAATCTTGGATAGTCTTCTTTCAAGAGCAAGAATTTCTCTTGTTTTCTCTTTCAGAGTTAACTGGCATGTGTTCAACTCTTTCAGAGCAGCTTCAAGCTTCTGTTGAAGAACTTCATTGCTCTCATTCAATGTAATGATAGATATCCTCTGTTCTTCTGAAATTTGTTGATTATTGTCAATTGTGTTCAAGAGTTTGTTCATTTCTGATTTAAGTTCTGATAACTGGTCAGATATATTTCTGCATTCAACAGTCTTGTTTTCGAGTTCTTTTTGTACTTTGATATAATCTAATTTTGGAACCATCGACTTTACCTGGTTTTCAAGAGTGGAAACTGTTAATTGCATAGCATTTGCTTTAGCAGAATTAGTGTCGCTGGAAGATCTCGTTGATTCCAATTCACTTTTCAGCCTAACAATTTCTTGGTTGAGTTTAGATGCTTGTGTTTCTGCAGCTTCACAACTATTCTCAACTTGTGATTTGTTCTCAAGCAGTTTCTTGACTCTCTCCTTCAGATCATATATAGGATGAGGCTTTTGCAAATTCGGATTTCCAGAGAAATTCAATATTGTTGAGTTATCGAATTCTGTAAGAGAATCGAATTTAATCCATCTTGTGAGGAAAGCCATACTGAGAACAAGGCTTCTACAACTTGGCGAAGTTGATTCTGTTGGAGAAATCATTTCATTGATTTCTCTAATTGTGTTTGTCACCTCGAAAAGAGTTGTATCAATTTTTCTGGCAACAGCAGATCTGAAATTAATTAAATTGAGAACAATATTGTTCTGAGGAATTGTGATGTAACTTTTTTCTGATCTTCCATCCATTGGTATTTGTGTTCTTGGTACTTGATCGGAATTGAATTGAACAACTTTACCACGAGCTGTTAATGCATCTGATAATTGTTGAACTTGATTATTAAGTTCATTGATCTTTGAATCCTTTTCATTGATCATCCTTGTCTTTTCATCAATTGTTCTGTTTTGCTTTGCAATTTGTTTATCTAACTGATTAATTTCGGAATGAGCTTGTGCGAGTTCTTGGAACTTTTGGCCGATGAAATTCATATCTTTAGCCCAATTTCCTGGCGTATAATCATTGTTATGCCTTGTTAGTAAAACTTTAAGATCATCATATTGACTTGCTGTTTGTGCTGTAACAGTTGAGATGTCGCCAGTAATATTATTAACTGTGGCTTGTAGTTCTGTGACCGTCTTTTGTAACTGTTCGGATTTAATTCTGTATTTATCGGCTCTTGCTAATTGTTGTTCAAGAGAACTCTTTTGTTGCTGAACCAAGTCGAATTTATCCTTTATTGATGATGCATTCTGTGATATTTCTTGCATACTTTGTCTCAAAGTGTTGTTTTCGTCCTTCAAAATTTCGATTTCTTCTTGAAGTGAACTAACAGTTGCTTTATGGTCTTCAATAGCATTCTTAAGCTTCTTTTCAACTTTCTTTCGTTGCTTAACTTCAGATTCCAAGTTTTGTTGAATTTGATCAACTTCCTGGTCTTTTTCAGCAATATGCTGTTTACTTTGTTCTTCTGCAAGTCTTGCACGCTTTTCCTTCTCTTTAAGTTCTTTTTGTCTTTGAGCTTCTTTTGAACGACTATGATTTAAGAGATTTTCTTTTTGTTTCTTAATTTCCGCGGCCTTTTGCATTTCGGTAAGTAATTTGTTATTCTTTGTTTTGAGATCAGCGTTTTTATCATCGTAATCTTTGACCATTCCACTTAAAAACTTCAAGGTATTATTTGCTTTTTCTAATTGATTAACAACCTTCTGCTTTTGTTGTTTGGTTGCCGCTAATTCTGCTTTGAGAGCTTCTAATTCAGCTGTCATTGTTTGAACTGTAATATCGAGCTTATCTTTTTCTAATAATGCGCGTGCGTTTGGATCTGCCGATTCTAATGCTCTGTATTTCAGCTTCCATTTGTTTGCTTTCTCTTTCCATATATCAAGTTTGTTTTGATCGACTTTTTTCTCGACATTAATCGTTTTAACAATTTTATTTTGTAATTTTGTCAATGCATCTCTAAGATTTCTATTCTCACCTTCGAGGGATTCGTTAATATATTCCAAATCATCTAGCTTAAGCTTCCATTGCTTTTCAGAGAGCTGAAACATCTTTTCGAGTGTTTTATACCTTGCTTCTAATGCTTCTGCATTGTAGTTTTTGTGCTTGAGATCTTCAAGCTCTTCTTGAAGTCTCTTTATGACAAGGGCGCGCGTCTTTGACATAACGGCGGAGCCTTCGTCCATTGTTTTATTTTGAGATTTGATTTTTAGCTCTCAAAATCATTTTTAATTCAATAGTTTACGATGTCAAGAAAATAAACTTTTCTATCACATAAATACTTGTGTTGTTCAAAAGCATCATATTTAAGTATGCTAATATTAGTTTTAGTGACTGTATAAGCGATTAGTAATGCACCCTTTTACACAATGCCGATATTAAAAATGATATTTTATTTGTTACTAATTTTCTGAAATCTTTGTCATACCATTATTCCAATGGGCTAAAAATTGTAATATTGAATAAGAAATTGATGAATCTAATTGGCTAATGATGGCCTGTAACCAATCTATGTCACTATCCAAGAATTAAGTGAAATTTACTTTAACTCGTATTTAGATATGCAATTTTTAAGTCTTGCGAAATCATTTATGGATAATGATTATAAAACAGACTCACCTACTTGGTCAGCAAAGACTTTAGTCGAAATAAATGTAGAACCTATAGAAAATATCGAAGCAGAGCAATCTCTTCAGTTTTTATATCAAAAGGCCACAGAAACATATGATGAAGGAAAAAATATGCCATGTATTTCATATTTGCATCAAATACTATTAATGTTAGAAGAAGGAAATGTTGAAACTAAGGAATTTGCATTTGAATTCTGTCAAAAAATGATTTATAATACAATAATTCAAGAATCATATCAGCAAATGCAGATCTTAGGTATGGGAATATACGTTAAACTTGTTCAATGTGGAAATTATTTAGAAATTGATCCTGATGGATTACTTGAAGCAGTTAGAAAATTAATTTATAGTAACTCGAACGAAATCGTGAATACATGTTGGAACTTTTTAATTGCACTGTTCAAATCCAATAAATTAGCCATTATTTTATTTGTTGAAAATGATGGAACATCTTTTGCTGTACAGAGTTATTTATCTTGCGATATACCTGAAATCAAGAACTGTATTGCATATGTTATATGCTTACTTCTCAAAAAAATTCCAGATTTTCCAACTTTTGAAACTTCTGACATTTTATTTGCTTTGAAGCCACAAATAATGCAAACATGTTATTTTCCAAAGTTTTGTCGTCGTATTTTGGACTATAGTATATCCTCAGTTAATGATTTTTTTAAATATGGTTATGAAGAGCTTGTTTATATTGAACTTGAAAAATTAGAACAAGCAATTGAAGAGCAAGAGAACCAATATATCGAAAACCAAGAAGAAGTCGCAAATATTTTCCTAGATTTATGTAATCGCATTGTCAAAATTCAGGATGGCCAAATAGGATATAAAAAGTATCCAATAAATGCAATTTTTTACTTTGCAATGAATGGTACACCTCTTTTGATTGATACTGCTTATGAATTTTTCGATTCTTACATCACAGTATATAAATCAGATGCTGTTACATGTATGTCAAACAAAAAGATACTTAGGGCCATAACACAAAAGATGGAAGATGTTCAGTTCTCTTCACGTCAGAAAAATGCTTATATTTTCATGAAAAGTTTAATTATGTCCTCTACGCGTCAAATGATAGGATTGATGAACATATTTGATGAAAGGATAACTGATTTTATCGAATTGGCTCCAAGTGCTGGTGATGATTATTTGAATGCATTAAATCAGCTTATATTGCAGATTATTAACATAGAGGATGGACAACAAGGTAACACATATTTTACAGATATATTCCTTGATCAATTTGAAAAATTGCAAGAAATCGCAGAAGATTCGGAAAAAGATCTACTAGATCTGGCACTTGAAAAGTTAGGAGAAATCTTTAATAGTAGAGAAGAAGCTAATTCTAATAATTAAAATCTCATTTGTTATTTTACTTTTGTTTTATAATAAACTAGCATGTTATCTGTTTATTTAGTTGCATTTTAAAACTGAAGACAAAATATTAATAAAATGATTTCTCAAATCTCTCAATTTTGAAAATATTCGACCACAAAAACACATTTTAATTTGTCTAAAATCTGAATTAATTGATTGTAAAAGTAAGTTGACAAACTGTTATCCATATTTTTAATGTTTTACAATTTTGACTAAATAGTGAAAAATGAGGAAATATTTCAATTTGAAAATATCACATATTCGATAGTAGATGTATTCCGGAGAGAGATTCGTGTTGGAACTGGAATATTCAACGAATCCATTCCGAACGCAGTCAATGCAAGTTATAGTGGTCAACTTCTTATTCCTAATTTTATCACATATTCTAATAAGCTTTGGCGTGTTACCGAAATAGGTACATGTGCATTTGTTTATTGTCAATCTATCACATCAGTTCGAGTAGGCTATAACGTTGAAGTAGTAAGACAACAAGCTTTCTTCCGATGCAGAAATATCGTTAACATCACATTTGAGAAGAATAGTCTACTCAAAACTCTTGAAAATGCATGCTTTTATGATTTATATGCTGTGGAATGTATAGAATTCGGTGGTGACAAACTCCAAACTATTGGCGATTGGGTATTTGGATATACTTTTGTGCTCAAAAATATAAGATTTCCGGCTTCTGTCAAATTTATGGATCAAAGATCATTAAGAGGAATGTTTACCTTAGAAAGGATTGATTATTGTAGTAAATCAGCAGTTACAAAAGATGTATTTTATAGAGGTGAACCAGATGAACATATAACCCCAACAAATCTGATTATTAAAGTAACTACAGGCTATGGTTCAAGTACATTCGGAATAAATGATAATATTGATATTGATGATTCAATAAATTGCTATTTCCCTCCTGCAATTTCGGATAACGATCTAAATTGCAGAACTATATATGGGAAAAACGACTATCGCATTGCTTATTCGTTGGTCTGTGTTTTTATTTTAATGTATGACTCTTAAACAAATGAAATTTAAATTTTTCTAATTTCATCAGTAAATCTGTTATATATTAGAAAGTATATATGAGTTGTGAATTTCTTTTAGAATATATATGAATATATAAGTAATGGCAAATTTCTATGCAAAAATCACAAATATTTCAATCTAAAATTGATTTCTAAGCTTAAAACTGCTTTCAACGAAGTGAGATATTTATGAATCAATTGTCGATGCGAATTCAAAATAAAATTCCTATAAAAGAACTGAATATTCAAAAAACATTATCTTGATTAGAAAAGAATTATGGTATGACATGTTAACAACACGAAAGGACATGTATTAAACATTACTATCGCAATCATTAAAGATATGTCAGTAGAAATCTTCAGGCCAATTGATCCAAACAACTCAAATTTTTGTCACTTTTGATAAAAAAATAACGAGGAAAAAATGAATTCAGGGCGCTCAATGCTTCCTGTTCTTCCTCCTTTAAATAATGCTAATCCATCAACTATAGACTATAAAACTGTCTCTGAGAACCCCGATAAGGTTGTAGATTTAGTTGATCAATTATTTGATCAAATTATGGAGTTAGCGCAAGTTAATACTGTTGTCTATGCAATCCAAACTCTTCTCGCACCACTTTACAATACAAAAAAGATAACATTGTGGCATTATATTGAATCTCATAATACATTCTTTTCGCAGACTTACAAAATACATGAAGCAGTTGAAGGATCAATACTTCAAGAAGCATTTACAGAGAAAAAAGTTGTATATATTCCATACGAAAAAAGAAATCAAAAGAAATATACTCAAAATGAAAACATTTCGTGTGAACAAGATAATGTATTAGTAATTCCTATGGTTCCTCGTACAGGTACTGTTGGAGCTGTCATTGAAATTGCGATTGATCATCATAAAGTTTTTAATACTGATCATTATCAAATTGCTCAACTTCTTATGTCTAAGTTTAAGAGTTATTACAGCTATCTTATTGATGAAGATCCATTAGATAACGAAGCAATTCAATTATTAGTTTCTACATCTTTACCAGAAACATATAAACGAATTTCAGGTCTTTTATCGAAGTTTTATGCTGCCAGAGTTGTTGAATTTTGGATGTTGCGAACACGAGATAATTCCATCTTAAAAGTCTTTGATGAATCAGAGAATCCGACAAATGTTGAGCAAGATATGGCTGGTATTGCAGGGTATGCACTTGAGCACTTTGTTGTTATCAACGAACGCTACATGAAGAATAATAAAATTATAATTCCCAAGTTGATGGCAATGGTGACTATTCCATGCTCTGTGTTCCATGCCAATTAGATGATGCTCGCCGCTGGGCCATTGTTTTACGTGGCAGAGTCTCTCCACCTCATTACAGCAGATGTGATGAACATACATTACTATCTCTCACTCCATTTGCATGCAAATCCATCTCCGCAGCGATTCTTCCTCCAAGCGAACTTCCACAGTTTGATGATTTCGAAACAAGATTTCAAGCCTTGTTAGAGATCGCCATGACACTATCAGGTCAATTAGACATAGATAACTTGATTCCTATGATCATGTCTCGAGCATGTTCTCTTCTTAATGCGCAACGTTGTTCATTGTTTTTGATTGACCGAGCAACAAATATGTTAACAACACGATTTGCTAATGGTGTTGACAAAGGTCTTCAAATTCCAATCACACAAGGTATTGTTGGCCAGACAGCAACAACAGGTGCCATTCTAAACATTCCTGATGCATACTCAGATCCACGGTTTAACAAGCAGATTGATATCGAAACAGGATTTCGAACTAACACTATCTTAAGTGTTCCCATTGTTAACAATCGAGGTGAAATCATCGGTGTCACAGAGATGATCAACAAAAAGTCCGGATTATTATTTGATGACGAAGATATTCGTATGATGACAGCGTTCAATGTTTTCTGTGGTATTTCATTAGATAACGCTAAACTTTATCAAGCTTCGCTTGATCTCTCCAAACAATTAACAATCTTCACAGAGATGTCCAGTGCAATTAAAGAAGATTCCAGTGACCAAACACTTAAATCCATCATCATGAATGCTAAGAACACATTGGGAGCATCAGGAGCTGTTCTTTATATATATAATTCAGATGATAAATCCTTCCAAGTTAAAGACCAAGTCGGAAAAGGTGCAACATATGGTACAACATTTGCCGAGAAAGCAGTTCAAGATCGCGAAGACAAAATCTTCCAACCAGATGATATCGACAACCTTCTTTTCCCTGCACAATCAAATAACAACTCCAAACTTGGAAAAGACGATTCTTATGACAGTTTCGACTCTATTTCAAGTCGACCAATCACACCTACTAAACCAGGAAAGACAGGAAGTGCAAGAGTATCAATGCTCCTTTCTACAGCAACAACAGCACAACTTCCAGATGTCAACATTCGAGAAACAATTGTTTGTATTCCTTTGGTTAATAACGAAAACACTATTTTAGGTGTTATTCAGTTGACATGTCCATGGACAGTTATTCCCGAAGATGTGAAGATGCTTAAGAGTTACGCTGTTTTTGCATCATTGATTATCGAGCGCCAGAACTTGAAAGGAATTGCCGAATTCGGACAAGATGAAGTCGAAATGAACACATGGATGACGAAAGAAGAAAAACATAGTATGACAGAAATTCCTTCTAAACTGATTATCCCAGAAGATGTCCTTAAAAACAACGTCTTCACCATCAAATTCAATTCATTGGAATGGGATGGCATTGGTCATTTCAAAGTTTTGTTTGCTATTTTCCATTATTTCGATTTCTTCCAAATTTATAAGATCACGAATGAAAAGTTTTTCCGATTCTTATATGCTATCAGAAGTATGTACAAGAAAGTTCCATACCATAACTGGCGTCATGCAGTTGATGTCACACAATTTGTTACTTATCAGATCATGATTTCTGGTCTTGAAAAAGTTTTCACTAAATTTGAATTATTCAGTTTAGTTGTTGCTGCAATTTGTCATGATGCAAATCATGATGGTTTCACTAATATCTACAACGTCAAAGCTGAAACTCCACTTGGTATTCTTTACAAGAACCAGTCCGTCATGGAAACACACCATTGTTCAATTGCAATCCAAATTATGTCACACGAAGAAACAAATTTGTTGGCCGCATTGAACCAAGACGAATACATCGAAATTTGGTCATTGATCATCCAATACATCCTTGCAACAGACATGGCACGTCATTTCGAGATTCTGAAGAGATTCAATGATATCTATGATGGTGGTGATTTCACAATGCAACGCCATGATCACCGCGTTATGTTGTTGTATATGATTCTTAAATGTGGTGATATTTCAAACGTTTCTCGTCCATTCGAACTTGCAGATCGATGGTGTGATGTTTTGTGTGAAGAATTCTTTCGACAAGGCGATTTAGAACAAGCGCAAGGCATGGCTTACACATCCGATTTGAATGATCGAAGCCATTTAGATAAAGCTAAATCACAAATTGGTTTCTACACATATGTTACACTTCCTATGTTCCAAGCTGCAGGAAAAGCAGTTCCTGCATTAGATGTAAACATGCGACAGGTTTTGTCTAATCTTTCAGTTTGGAAGAGAAAACACGCAGAAGAACTTGAACTTCAGAAAGCTGCCCTTGCTGCTGCGTCAGATAAACCTAAGACTAATCAAACACAACAGCAACAACAAACTAATAATACTAATCAACCTGCTACAAATAATAATAACAATAATAATAACAACAAATCAGAAAACAATTCAACATCAGGTGGCGGAACTAAACTTGGTCAAGGTCCAGCACCAAAAGACAACAACAAAGATAATAAAGAAAACAAGGATGAAGATACAATTGGCGAAGAATTACTTCTTGATGAAAACGGAGATCCTATTGTTGATGTTAAGATGAGTATTTCTACATTACTTCGAGAAAGTTCAGAACATATTAAATGTTATCCAGGTGATGACAAAAAGAAATGATTTTGATAATAATTATTTTTATTGAATTTTGTTTATTTATTAAATATTTATTTAAAATAATTTTTCAAATGTTTTGTCAATAAAATATCATTACACTGACTAGACATCAATAACATAATAATGAGATTAATAGAATTCTTAGATTTAAGCTCAAAAAATGTATGTTGAACATGAGGATAAATTTTTCATTATACACAGATAAAAGTTTACTACTCATAGTGATGTTTTGGATTCCTAAAAAAAATATATTCAATACTTTAACTGTAAATCATTGATGTGAGAATCAAATTAGAATTATCATTTTTCTTGATTTACTACAGATATCTCTCAATAAATTAGAATTTTTAATGTTCAAATAATAACCATAATACGCTCTATAATTTTGATTTCAATATTTAAAAAATTTGAGGAAACTTGCACGAGTTTTTTAAGGGTGTGCTTTCCACTTTCTGATATGTTCTCATAAAAATAATTCATCTTTATTATAATAGCAAAAAAGTATAACATCTGTATTGGGTGTTATTCGGTGATTTATAATAATAAATTATTTGGCTCCAATAGATTTTAGATAATCTCTGACATTATCTTTTGCATATGAGAGTGCAGTTTTTCCAGAATTGGTCTTTGCTTCTTTGTTGGCTCCAACTGAGATAAGATATTTAACAACTTCAAGATGGCCATTAGATGATGCAAGAATGAGTGGAGTAGATCCATCATTATTCTTTCCATCTTTATCAGCTCCAACTGAGATAAGATATTGAGCAACTTCAAGATGGCCATTAGATGATGCAAGAATGAGTGAAGTCCATCCATCTTTATTCTTTGCTTCTTTATTAGCTCCAACTGAGATAAGATATTTAACAACTTCAAGATGACCTTTCCATGATGCCCAAATGAGTGGAGTATTTTCAGAATTATCCTTTGCTTCTTTATCTGCTCCAACTGAGATAAGATATTGAGCAACTTCAAGATGGCCATTTAATGATGCAAGAATGAGTGGAGTATATCCATCATTATTCTTTCCATCTTTATCAGCTCCAACTGAGATAAGATATTGAACAACTTCAAGATGACCATAATATGATGCAAGAATGAGTGAAGTCCATCCATCATTAGACTTTCCATCTTTATCAGCTCCAACTGAGATAAGATATTTAACAACTTCAAGATGACCTTTCCATGATGCATATACAAGTGGTGTATTTCCAAAAGAACTCTTTAAATCTTTGTCGATGCCATATTCAATAAGAGATTTAACAAGAGAAAGATTTCCCTTTTCACTTGCTACATGAAGTACATGTTCTATATCATCTGGAGATTTTTGGTATTTCTTTTCTAAAAGTCCTTCGTCACATGATTTTGAAATCATTTTGCGATTGCCTTGGGATGAAAGCTGATCAAGGAAGTTGTAAACTCGTTCAAAATCATTAGATTTCTTAAGTTCTGAAATTTCTGCAAGAATTTCTCGCTCTTTACTGTTCTTTTCATTAATTTGATTGAGTTGGGAATTAAGTAATTCAAATTTTTTGTCACTTTTTGGTGGTTGATTTTGAAATGTTTCTTCTGATTGAGGATTCTGTATTTTCTCTGAGGAAGAAGATATTTCTTTATGCGTTTGTATTAAAAAATTAATAACGCCATCAAGTATTCGAAGTTTCATGTATTTCTGGAGTGATTTCAAAATTGAAACGATATCTTCAAAATTTTGGACAGAAATATTTGCATTTCGAGTACACATATATAATTCTTTTGCTTTGATAGAAGAACGAGATTGATCCATAACAGTAATGAAGTCATTTGTTGTCAGGGTTGTTAATTTCATGATTTTTTTTGATGTCGTTTGTTTCGAAAGTAGAAAACAACTTGTCCTCATCGATGTAATCTTTAATGTGTGCAGCAATATATTCGAAATTATGAATAAGGTCTTGGCTCATTAAATTTGCCGATAGCTTAAAAATGTTGGCAAAAAATTATTTCACTCATTTATAGTTCTACATATAGTATAAATATGATGATTCACATAAGGAATCTAAATATTATGATATTTCTCTGATTACATCGTAAATTGCTAAAATTTTTCTTGAATTTCATTATTTTCCTCGTTTTTAACGCAACAATATATATATAGCTTTTTCTAATGATGGGGAGAAAAAAAAAAGGTAGTGGGGCTTCCAGGCACTTCGTGCCCTCTAGCCCCGAAGATGTTTAGTATAAATGAAGTTTTTATTCGGAGGGCTTCCAGGAGCTTTTCACAAAATATATATGTTTTCATGTTTTGTCACTTTTCTGTCACTTTTCAGGAAAAAACATTTTTATTATTATATATAAATGAATTTTACAAAACCACCGTTACCCTTCTTTGGAAATAAGAGTAGATGTAAAGATATTCTATTGAGAGAACTTAAGAAACTACCGAATGGTCTAACATTTGTAGATTTGTTCGGTGGAAGTTTCTATATATCCCATTTGTGCCATACAATATTCCCAGACTCAAAGATTATATGCAATGACTTCGACAACTATATGAACCGTCTCAAACATATACCAGACACAAACAATATATTGAAAGAGTTAAAAGAAAAGATACCTATAGGCAAGATGGAACGTATACCATTAGATAAGAAAATATTGTGAGAGAGGTTTTGAAAAAAGCAGAATATATAGACTGGGATAGTATATCTGCTAGACTATTATATAGTGGTGCTATAAGAGTTCATGACATTGAAACACTTATGTCAAAAGTTTTATATCTCAACTATACAAATGTTTTCAAAAAGAACATAGAAAAATATATTGAGGGTATAGAGTTTGTGAGATGTCATTGGACAGAGTTGTATGAAAAATATAAAGACAAGGAAAATGTTTTCTTTATAGTGGACCCGCCGTTCTATAACACATGGGATTTTCAATACCAAGTAGACTGGACTTTGAGAGACTCTTTAGAAACTTTAGACGTTATACATAACCATCCATGCTTTTACTTTACATCCGATAAAAGTGGTTTGGAAACCGTTATGAGATGGTTAGAGGACATACATGACTATGTGTTTAAATATGACAAGATAGAATATGAGAGAGGTCCTATAAACTGGAGAAAGTGTCATAACAAAGAAATTTTATTGGTAAGTAAATGTGGTTTGAAATAGGACTACTTGTTTTAGGTTTTTTCCATTGTGTCATTTACTTATTTGACGTGGCAGAAAGATATAGAGAATATGAAGATGAACCAATACCTGCAAATGTTCAGATATGTACTCGTAAGAGATATTTTTATCTAATATTAAATGGACGCACAGAACTTAGCGAATGCACAGCAACCTGGACAACCAAACCCAGAGAATATTCCAAATGAAGTTAGAATACAAACTGCAATGGCAAACTATGGTCAAGTGCCAACAGATGTACAAATGCAAACTGCCATGTCAAATGACGCTGCGTTAGGTTTGCCACCATGGTATGCAAATATGAGATGGAAAGAGTTTTATACAAACCCTGAAGTGGGATATAAACAACTTTATGCAGATGACGCGAACACAGGAGTTGACCCAGAATATGTTTTCTACCAGAGGAGAAATAGAATGTATGAGCTCCAGTTAAAGAATGCTATGGAACTCAACAGGAAACGCAAAAGACTAGGCGGACATTAGATTTTTACATATAGTAAAATGGGTTTCTTTGGAAGAATAGGAAACTTCTTTCGAAATGTTGGAAGAGGTATATGGAATGGAATAAAATCTGTCGGAAGAGGAATTTGGAACGGTGTCAAAAAATTGGTAAAAGAGTAGGTCAGTTCGTTGGTATTATACCTAAAGACCCTGAACCAGAAGAACAAGCTCCTGTTTACAACAGCCTGAACCTGCACCACAGTCTAGTTGGCAACCAAATCCAACACCTCAACCGTATTAAAAAATTATATTTTTACCGTTCGATAGTAGTTGTATATGAAACTAAGTTCTAAGTAAAACGCATGGTATAATGGAATTATTCTCTTTCTTCCATCTGTAGTAAACCATACTTGAAAGTCTGAAATACTTCCACTTGGTGGTTCGTATAACTTTGTAGGTTTTTCGTAAAAGTCATTTGCCAAGCATAAAAAGAGTTTTGTGCACCAGAAAATGAAGCATGAACTATAATAGCATCTTGGTCGAAAACATTTTCATATGTTCCATTAGGGTTTTCGACTTCATAAAAGTTCGGGTGTACTGGATATTCTGCAGGCTGATTTAACATCCTCAAAAACCTATACCATGCCAAGTTGTTATATTTTGTAGAAATATAAACGTTTTCTCCAAGGTCTTCTATTCTATTGATTTTAACAGTTGCATTTTTCCTGTCATATATATATCGAGATGGTACTCTCCTTCGTCAATGTTATACTGTTTTGCATATTCGAGATAGATATCGTTTATTTTTTCTTGAAAAGCTTGAAGAGTTGTTTCTAAGTTTACAAGCAAATTCACTTGTAAAAGTTTTCCCTGTTCAAATTTCTCATACATACGTTTTTCTTTGTTATGTATCGAACTTCAAAACCGACCGTAAATGGGAAACCATGTATGGCTTCTGAAATGAACTTCATTCTACGAAAGCCAATAGCTTTTGTGACGGATGGGTCTCTTAACCATCTTAATGGGTAGTCAAAACGATAGCCTTCATGCTTTACGGTCTCTGTCTCAAACTTTTGACCTACATTAGTAAAAAGTTCATCTAATGGTTTAGTTGTAGCAACTCTTGAATTTTCTTTTTCTATTGAAAGCATATTTTATCTAGAATAAAAATGTCAAATGAAACAGCGTCTATGAGAGAAATACAACACAACCGACAACTCATTATACAAGCTCTAAATAAGAACACAACAAACTTTTCAAACTATTCTAAGATATCTGAGTCATTGAAAGAAGGAAACTTAAAACTGACATTAAACCCAATGACAGATGAGTTTCTGTTTCAAGACAATAAGAACCATACTGTCTGTATAAATCCAACAAAAGGAACTTTAAACGAGAAACCTATAAATGAACTTCTTTTGAAAGCAGATGTTGACAACAAAGCTGACAAAGAATATGTCATTGAAAAAGTTCAAGAAGAACATGACAGAGCAGATGCAACATATGCAACAAAAGAACATACTCATCCTGAACTAGCAGACAAAACATATGTTGACAATAAAATGTCAAGTGAAGTGACAAGAGCTGAAAACGAATATTCTAAAAAGACTCATACACATACCATTGCAAATATTACAAACTTACAAGAAACCTTAAACAGGAAAAGTGACGTTGGACATACACATACCATTGCAAATATTACAAACTTACAAGAAACCTTAAACAGGAAAAGTGACGTTGGACATACACATACCATTGCAAATATTACAAACTTACAAGAAACCTTAAACAGGAAAAGTGACGTTGGACATACACATACCATTGCAAATATTACAAACTTACAAGAAACCTTAAACAGGAAAAGTGACGTTGGACATACACATACCATTGCAAATATTACAAACTTACAAGAAACCTTAAACAGGAAAAGTGACGTTGGACATACACATACCATTGCAAATATTACAAACTTACAAGAAACCTTAAACAGGAAAAGTGACGTTGGACATACACATACATCTTCTGAAATAACAGACTTAAACGTTAGCCTTGAAAAGAAAGCAGATAAAACATATGTCAATGAAATATACCAAAGTTTAGTTGGAACAAAAAATATTGAAACTATGGTTGGTGACTTTTCTGTCTATGAAGAAAACAAATATTTTAGATGGGAGTTTGTACACTCCTTAAAAAATGGTATACGGTATAAACTCATTCCGAAAAATAACAATGAAATGTATGTAAGCTATATAGAGAATGATGGTACACAAGTTAAAGTTCCATTAGACAACAACTGCTACTTAAACATATATGGAGACGAACAAAAGAAATATTTAAGTGTTTATGAAATGGCAGATATGACATTGCCTGACCCAGCTCCGGCACCATATTATTATGACTATGGAGATGACGACAGAACACCACATGTAGATGAACAAAAGCAAACATTATATTTAGAATATTATAGATATAAAAGATATAATGCAATAGAAAAAACGAGAATAGTATACTATTATGAAGATGACAGAAATAAATATTATAGTCAAGATTTTACCTACCCTGAAAACATAAGATTATATTATAAAAAATATTCTGACACAAACCAGAAGAAACCTGAAATAGTTGCACTATATTTTAAGTTCAAAAGAGACAATCCTATAAATGTCTCATATGTTTGATTTAATGAACCAGTAGGTTCTATTTATACATCTATGGAAGCAAGTGGTCCTCAAGTAATGTTTGGTGTTGGTGCATGGGAACAAATAGTCGACAGGTTTTTGTATTGTGCAAACTATTCAAAGGAAACAGGTGGAAGCAAAAAGATTCTGTCGACAACTTGCCACCACATAGTCATTCTGGTACAACAAGTTCTAATGGAAACCATAGTCATAGGGTTTGCAAACAAGGATATAACACTGTTTCTCAGACTTCAATGCAAATTCAAGTTATGTCAAGATCTCATTTTCCAACAACGACCCAGTAGACTGGAATGGAATGTGGACAGATACAACTGGAAACCACCAACATACTTTTACAACAACATCTACAGGAATGGAACAGACTACATGCCAGCCCTTACATGACAAGTTTACGCATGGTATAGAATTGCTTAGTCGTCATTTTCACTTCTTAGCATATTCGTCAGGAGTTGTCTTATATTTGTTAGGAACTGTCTTTGAAAGTATACCACCTTGAACTTTGACAAGTTTGAAACGAGGTCTGACAATAGTAGTTTTTTATCTTCTGTTTGCAGTGTGTACATTTTGCCATGTTTGCCTAAAAACTTCATAATATTCTCTTGTATACTTTCTTCTATTTTTACGAACACGAATGTGAGTACCTATCGGGTTCCCATTGTTTGTTCATAGTCAATAGTATTTTCATATGGTCGCGTTTAGGTATTTCTATTTTTACTTTGTCACCTTTCTGAAGTTTGAAGCCCGGCATTCTTTCTTGTTTGTCTCTTTTGACTAAATTATTAAATATATAGTCTTTCTCTAAGTCAGGGTTGTTTTTCATTTCTTCGGGGGAGTGGTTTCCCAAACCTTTTTGTTTACGGTTATTGTAAATATTTAAAACTTGTCTCATCTTTGCCATGGAGAAGTGTCTATATTTGTCGTCATATGACATTTCATTTGCTTCACCACCTTGTGGTTGGTTTAAGTCTCTTAACATTTTTATACAACTGTCAATGACACCAAGAGCAGAATGGTTTTGGTCGACAATGAAATATTGGTTTACATTTTTTGAACGCAGATAGTTTTTAATATCGTCTGATTTGAAAGAACTTTCATAGTCAGATGTCAGTTTTGTTGGATGGTATTTGTCAACGAATATTGTCAAAGCAGTTTTCACATCTAAAATATTTTTGGACTAATGGTATGGCTTCACAGTATCTTGTGTTTTGACCGACAAATATTAACCAGTATGGTGGTCCATCTTCTCTATACCTCGGAATGTTTTCCAAGATATCCATAAACCAAGCATTTGGTGTTGAACTAAAGATTTTTACATGAGTGCTTTCTTTGTTGCCTTAGAAACATAGGGGTCCTTGTTTGAATTCGTCATTTTTTAACCCATAAGAAATGGGTTTATTTGGCGCATTAGCAGGAGTTGCACTAGATTTTTGCCCGCAGTGGGAACAATAGCCAGAGGTGCATTTGGAATTGGAAGGAAGATTTTGAGTACATTAGGTATACTTAAAGAGAAAGCACAACCTATTATACAAACTGTACAGAAAGGTTGGGATGTAGCACGAGATGCAGCAAATCTTATTCCAAATCCTGAAACAAGAGGAAAAGTTCAAGGATGGATGGACAATGTAGGAAGACAAGCAGGAAACTACTTATAACAAAGCAAATGACTACTATAACCAAGCAGGACACTATATGGACCAAGGTGAAAGATTCTTTAACAGAGGATATAACCATGCACAACAGTGGGTAAACAATAACCAACCTCAACCGCCTCAAACGTGGGGAATGTAAATTTTTTACTGAGATGAAATGAACAATACAGCATTGAGACAAATGGGTTCAAGATGGATTTGTCGGCTTCCAGCAGTTACACCACCACGTGTTTGTCAAGTTCTTCCTATACCTCAGGAAGTTTTAGACCGACTTAAAAAACCTAAACAACCAGTTGAAAACAAACCAAACTAAAATTTTTTACTGAGATGAAATGACCGAAGAAGTTGAAACGGTAGATTTGACACCACAAACAAAAAGTTCAGAACCATTGTCAAAACCTGTCAAAGAACTTACAGATGAAGAGAAAAATTCAATAATAGAAAGTGCCAGGTCTGGAAATACAAACCCTAACTACAAAGTCACTTTTCATAAAAATGGAACGGCTAGTATCTCAAAAAAGAAACAGACTCTCACAAATAAAATATTGAAGTCTGAAGGAGCTTTCGAGACAACAGATGGAAAAGTTTACTTCACTGACCAACAGTTCATTATAGAACATCTCATTGACTTAGAGTCGAAATATTCTAAACTTTACAACAAACACAAAAAGTTGAAAGGAAAACAAAAACAAATGGCATATGATATTTATGAAGATGTTGACGACACAACTGTTCCTGCAAGTGAGGTAAAGTCAGAGGAACCAAAAAGTGACGAAAAACAGATAGAAGAAGAAAAACCAAAAACTGAAGATAAACCAAAACCAAAGTTTAGTTTCCAAACTAAACCAAGTCAACCTTCATTAGCTGGTATGGGTTGGCGTCAAAGACTTATGGCAGCAGGCGGTTATGTAAAGTAAAAGAAAAAAATATTTTTTTATTTTTATAAAAATGCCCCCATATAGAATGGATAGAAAATCTGCTAGAATAAAAGCAGAGTTGCAAAGATATGGTTGGAGAGTTTCGAAGAAGTTTAAATATAGGAAGGGAAGACCCATAAAAGTCTATGACAAATTGTCTGGTCTTCGCTACGAAATGGATTTGGAAACAGCACGTGCAAATTATCCAAACAGACTAGAGAGGTTAGAAGAAGAACGTCTTATGGACATGCCTTTCGATGTTAGTGAACCTCAAGTTGAAGGACACGACGGCTTTGCCAGATTCTACTGGAAACATGACGAACAATTGCATCCTTTGAGAAGGAAAAAAGGAAAAGGTGAAGACGCACATGCTCCCATGGAAAGAACAAGATATGCATATGAAAAGTATCGTGAAGTTAGAAGTCAAATTACATCTGGTCGAACCTTTACAGTAAACTTTGACGAAGGAAAGAACAAAGAAGGCTTCATGGGTGTACTTGCTGCCATACAAGACGGAAATAAGAAAGGACACAATCTCAGATTGACCATAACAGATTTGGATGGTCACATTTACTATGCACATGGCAATGTCACAACAGCCGCACAACTTCTTGACGCTTTCAAGACTACAAAGAGAGAACAAATGGTTGACTCCGACTCAGACATTTTGAATGCAATTGAAGGAATTGCAAGTGTCAAGTTCGAATGGTACCAACCTAACCCTCAAGCAGTCAGACAACATGCTGGATACTTCCCGTTCAGAAATAAGTCTGACATTGACTTGACAAGGTATGGAATTTACAATTCAATTGAAACAATTGTCAATGAACCTTGTATTCTTACATGTCTCAGGAACTCTGGTCTTGTTACAGATGAGAAAATGAAGTATCTTGAGTCATGTGTGAAGACAAGGTACATTCTCAGAGGTCAATTGACAAAAATTGCACCGTTGGCAAATGTCAATATCCGAGTTAACATACCTACAGCTAAAGGTTCTTCACACGACGACTATGTTGTTGACAAAGACTTACCATGGTTGAAGATTGTACTTGTCCACAACCACTTCATGTTGAACGAAAGTCTTACAAACTCATTGTTCGGAAAAGGCAAGTGCAACATTGTCAGAGCTGTAAACATTCTTTTCGAGAAAGGTTTGTTGGAACCAATTCCAGATGACAAGCTGACAGAAACTTTTGTACCAAAAGACGAAACAAACTTTTCATTGTTAGCAAGACCAAAAGTTGTTCCAGACAAAGTTATAGTACAAAAGAAGTACACAGTTCCACAAGGAGTTGGATTGTTCGGATACCAACCTGAACCAGAAGAACTTCCAATGAGGTTGCAAGAACTTCAAGATGCTATAAACAAACTTCCATTGAGACATCCAATTGACGTCAAATTGTATTGGAGAGCATCTGAGTTAGGTCAGAAGGTTTTATATGAAACAGGTTGCTTCGACGATGTTTATGAGATAACAGGAGAAGTTTCTCAGAAGATAAGAGACTCACTTGAATTTCCACAAACTGGACCAATTGGTTGCGACAAGTTCGACTCAGATGAAAAAATATACTATGTCGACCTTAACGCTGCATACATGAGGTTTGTCCAATATATTCCGACTGGAATTCCAAACGAAGATGGTGAGTTCCCGGGAAGGAACTATACAGTTGGAAAAGTCATACAACAACTGTATGATATTAGGAAAGCTTCAAACCCCAAACTTGCAATGACACTCAAATTGCTTATGAATTCGACATGGGGATATTCCATTAAGAAACCTCAAGCGATGAAGAGTAAACATTATGAGAAGGTCGACAACTTTGTTGAAAGGTTTTCTCCTTTTGTTTTGAAGTACGAATTCACTCAAGGTCAAAGTGGCTTAGTAACCACATTAAAACCTATTGTCGAACATTGGTCTTACCCTCAGTTCGCAAAGGCAGTCCTTGACAACTACAACAAATTCTTCTCCGAAGTCAAATCCAAAGTGAAGGTTTACTATGAGAACATTGACGCACTCATGACGAACGAAGAAGGATACAACAAACTCATTGAAATGGGAATGGTCGGTGAAAAGATGGGTCAATTCAAATTGGACAAAATTTTCACCGAAGTTCATGTCCTCTCCAAGCGTAAGTACTGGGGCATACTTGAAGACGGCACAGAAATAAAACATTGCATGAAATAAAAAATTTTTATTCGAATTTGAATTTAAATGTGGGGAATTCTTGGTCTCAAACTCATATATAACCTGTTTGTTTGTATTTTCGTCGACTATGGCACGAGACACAAACATTGACCAAACGGACAAAAAGTGTCATTTCGGATGGTCACGCAGCCAATCGCATTCGAGCACTTCGAAGAAGCCTTACGTTCCAAGGGAGAGGGTGTCTGGTGCAAGGCAGAGGTCATGAAACTCTACGAGCAGTACATCCTCAATGCCTGGGAGGACAAATCGTCCTTGGATTGGCAATTCTACCAACTCCTCTGGGACGACCTCCTACGCAACTGGGATAACGAAAGAGCCCAATTCAAAGGTCGGGAACTAATTTTGCAAATGACCATTAATTTAACCTACTTATCCAACTAAACACCTAAATTTACTCGGGGTTTCCCCCTACAATAAATTTTTTTTACTCTTAGAACCACTCGAGGTTCTCCTTACGGTTGTTGAGCTTGTCACCGTCAATGTGTCTGACCTTCGTCTTCTTGTTTGGATTTGGAACCCATTGCATACCGACAAGCCTTCCCATGGAAATTGTACCGTAATTCCGAAGGGTAAGGCTCAAGTGTCCCAAGTTGTTGAGGACTGGGGTAAGAACCTTGCCGGTCTCCTTGTTGCGGATTTTGTATGGGTAGGGTTGGGAAATTTCATAACTGTCATCGGCAACAAGGGTTGCCCAAACTTCCTTTTCTTCGTGTTTCTCTTCTTCGTGTTTCTCTTCTTCTTCCTCTTCTTCTTCGTGTTTCTCTTCTTCCTCGAAAACTCCTTCTTCAATTTGGTACTCACGAAGTACGGTGTTGCATGTTCTGTCCTTTCCGAGTACCTTCCAGATGGCGTCTATCTCTTCGAAGAAACGGTAGATGAGTCTGGCAAGGTCTCGGTTCTCTCTCTCGTAATTGCGCAAGGTTTCCGCGAAATCGTTCAGGCATTTCTCATTGGAAGCTTGGTTCATGAGGAACTCACCTTTAAGTTCCTTCATCTCTGTCATAAGACTACTTTGGAGAGTCTTAATGGTGTTTGTCAGATGAGCGTTCAATTGGACAATTTGAAGTTGAACTGGGCGCTTGTCTGGCAACCTTGAAAGGACATCTGCCATTGAGTTTGGCTTCGGTGCTTGTTCGGACATCGAAAAAATGAAGTGGTTTGAGAATGACGGTTTTACTTCAAAAAGCTTGTTATGACGGTTAAGTCATACAACAAGTTTAAAATAATATCTTGTTCTTCTTCTGAACGTTTGTTGTCTCTTCCGATAAAAGTTTCGAACATGAGAACCAAAAAACGTTTTTTGAGATTGCGGAAGAGTTCAGGCAAACGTTCATATTCTGGATATGTTGGGAGCAGTTCGAAACATCTGAGCTGACTTTCGGACAAAATTGGGACAATGTCAACAAATTCATCTTTGGTCGGACTGCTTGAAGGTAAGTCCCTTACATGTAAGTAGCTCTGGTAAAGTCTTCTCATTTCTGCTAACTTTTGGAGTATAGCTTCGTAGTTTAGAAGTTTTAATTTTAATTGTCTTATTCCACTCTTGACATCTAAACGGTAACTATCCATGAGGTCAAGAGTAGCTTTGGTAGCTTTAAGTGGAGCTATCTGTTCCTTGACTTCTGCAATTTTGGTTGCAATAGTGATTTGAGCTCCTTCAAGTTCGCCGTCTATGTCGTTCTCAACACCTTCAACCATAGCTTGAAACTCTTCATCGGTCCATTGAGATTGGTGTGGGACGAATTTAACTTGCTTCATTCAAAAAATGAAAAAAATGTTTTTACTCAAAGCGTGCCATGTATATGGCTATAAGAAACTTACCAGAAGGCTTCTTCTTCACATGCGTAAAAACATAAAAAAGGTGAAGTTAAAATGAGATGTTTACTGAACTGGCTGAATGTCGCCTTCACAGGTTATGTAGAACGGCTGACCCGAGAAGTGAAGGAGAGACTGAATTGCCAATTTCATATGGGGTAGGGGGTTCTCCTTGTTTGGTATTTTTATCCAAGGACGTTTGTTTAGGAACTTAACAAGAGCTTCTCTTTTGGCGTCCTTTATGTCATCGTAGGCTGTCCCGTCTGGTATTTGAATTGGAATTCCAGTCGAAGTCTCGAGCTGAAGTGTAGACCTTCCAGAAATAGAGATGAACTTGACCTTGGGCTTCATTACCTTGCGCAAGTAGTCTTTTACGCAGTCGTTAATTTCAATTAGGTAAATTGCCTCGTCAAGTCCTTCTTGCATTCCAAGTTCTTCCATCCGACAGGAAAATATTTTCCCGACAAAGGGAAAAATTTTTCCTTCCGACAGGAAAATATTTTCCTTCCGACAGGAAAAATTTTTCCTTCCGACGGGAAGAACTCTTCCAGTTGTCCGTCCGTAAACCATTCAAATTTTCGAAAATTGAGAACTTTTTGGTCGAACTTCAGAAAAAGTTTTTCCTTCCGACAGGAAAAGTTTTTCCTTCCGACAGGAAAAATTTTTCCTTCCGACAGGAAAATATTTTCCTTCCGACAGGACACAAACGGATGACTGACGTTCCTCTTCCTGAATGCCTTCCAAAGCCAGAAAAACCGAAAGCTGCAGAACCACAACAGTCTCCTCAGCAACCACAACAACCTCAGTTCCAGCAAGTACCTCCACCAAATTACTACCAATTTCCACCTCAAGGTTACTACCAATTTCCACCACAAGGCTTCCCGAACTACCCTCCTCCTCAGCCTATGCCTTACTTCCCCAACCCTTGGATGTTCCAGCAAGCTCCACCCCAGCAATTCCAATCTCAATCCCAATCGAAGAGAGACCAAGAGTTCGAAGAAGGTCTGAACCGTTTATGCAAAGATTATGCCACAGCCCCTATGGAAGACGACAGGCTTTCAGTCTCTTCCCTCAAATCGACCGATTCGACTCGTACCACAGATTCGGTCAAAGACAGAGACGACTACCTCAAGCAGTCTGAGAGACTCTTCATCCTACAACCATTTACAGTTGGAGCTCTCAAGAACATGCGCAATTACGAAGGTCAGACACCAGCTGGAGACCGCAAAACAGACGTACTCGCAAGAGCCGTCCAGCTCGTCAAGACAAAGACTGAGATAGTCGACTTCATTCTTGCAGCTTGCCCATACAAGTAAAAAAATAAACAATTACGAGTTAAACTTTTTATTCTTTCTTTTCTGAGTTGTTTAGAGCTGGTTTCTCTTGTAGGAACCTTTCGTACTCTTCCATGGTTATGTAATTGCGAATTTGGTACGCAATTCCAGATTCGTTGTTTTTGAACCTTACGTATGTAACGCTTCCATCCTCCTCAGGGAAGTAAGCTGCTAACATCTGACCAAGTTTTCTCGGTGGCTCGGAGCTCATTAAAAATGTCACTTTTTAAACGTTAAGTTTTTAGTCTTATTTTACCCTTTGTTTGTCAAGGTAGTATTGGAGCGCAATTTCTCCAAATTCTCTGTGTCGGAGTTCTTCAGCATTTTCCAAGGTGTACCTGGAGAACTCAAAGAAGTTGTCAAGAACATACTGCCATGCTGCTCTTCTGAGTTCGTCGGTATTTTGGAAGTGTTGCACCTTCGAGTCTTC